AGGGCATGGATGGCTGATAGCAGCTAATGGGAGATAGAGTTCCTCAGTGATGCAGGGAGAGGAAGGCTAAACACTACCTCTGGTGGCGTAGTGCCTAAGGCACTTGACTGCTAACCAGAAGACTGGTGGTTCAAACCCACCAGCCATTCCTCAGAAGGATGACTGGGCAATCTACTTCCGTAGTGATACTGCCTTGAAAACCCAAGGAGGGGTCGCTATGAGTTGGATCCAACTCCGTGACAGTAGGTTGGGTTTGGTTTATGCGAAGATATCACATCAACAGAGGCCACTAACAGCAGATGTAACTAGATTAAACCAAGATGAGCGATACTTCCCCATCACCAAAAGGCAACTAATAAGATCTCTGTCTCACTTATCCCAAGCTCCCTATTCCAACTCTGAAAGAGTTAGAGCCAGAAGAAGGAGGCAGATGCCCTCCTCACCCCTCATCTCCACCTAAAGGTGCCATAATACAAAGAAGAATGAAAGAGCTGATCATGCTCTCCCCATTCATTTCAGATCCCTTGAGACATAGGTCTGACCTGTGATAGGGCCAGAATATAGTTTTGAAATGGGATTTGAGATTAGAGTTTAAAACTAGACCAAACTAAATTAATAACCAGAAGTTACCAGAATGCTATGGGATCTGTCCAAAATGCTATTAAGGGATTAACCATTCAGCACAGACAAAAGACTTGGTAGAACACAGTTAAAAGTGATTGGAAAAAAACAAAGGTGAAAGTATTTGTACCTCTACTGACCTGAGTTCTCTTAATAAAACTCTTTACATAGGCAGATCCAGAAAGTGAACTGATAGAGAAATTTCTGTAGGGTTAAGACATTTCATGATAGAATGCAAACTCTGGAAAGGGCTTTAGAAATTACCAAATCAAGCTTGCTAATTTTACAGATTGGAAACTAAGCTCCCATAAGAAGCACAAAATCTCAAAGACAGAGGTGGTGTTGAGACAAGAATTCAAATCTTTCCATTTCCACTTATATTGTCTTTGCCCTATATCACACAATCTCCCAGGGAATAACATAAAGAAAACAGTGTTGGGAATATTATTCTAACAGTACTTTGCAGGTCAGACTAGGAAAGGAAAGACTGAAGGCTGGGAGATGAATTAAGAGGGAATAGCAGTAGTGAAAATATGTAAGTTAGGATAGTCTGGTGATTCTTATATGATTGAGAGTAAGTTACAACAGGCATCGGAAAAAAACATATTCCAACTTTCAATGACTCCTGTGGTAGTACCCTAAGCTGTTAACTGGCAAAGAGAAACAGAAGCTTCCTACTCACAAAGGTACACGAGAGATACAAATAAAAATTTACCTTATTATATTGTCTGATGTTAACAACACTATGTGGGGATCCAGCATTTCACTTGGATACCAGGCAGCATGCTTTAGAGTCAGAGATGTAGAGCTGGTGAAAAATCTCTCAGCAATTGGAAGGGTACTAAAATAAAGACAAAACATTTTGTAAAACATGACTGAAAACTTTTCTAAAGGAAAATCTATTTCAACATTCTGTGTTCTTTCCTTTAAATTTTTATTACGTTTTGCTGAGACAGGATTCAAAGCATTTGTTCAATTAATATCAAAGAATCAAAATACCATAAAATACTTTCTAAATTATAGAGTATTTTATTAGTACTTTACTAATATTTTTAAACATAGTATCTTATTTGATGCTTTTAACAACCTTATGAGGAAAGCAGGAGGGCAGATATTATTATTCCTGTTTTGGAGATGAGGAAACAGATTTAGAAAAGAGACAGCGTAAGAGGACTCAACCTAAAAGTTGTAGAGCTAAAATTGCAGCTGGGTTTCCACTTTATATTTCTTTCAGTGTCTCTCAGATTGACACTTTCCTGAGTTTGTTGAAAAAGAAAATGATATAAAAATAAAACCTAAATAAACTTAGGAACAAACTTTCTGATTCATAGATAGTAAGTGCTTTCAAAGTTCTTATTTTTATCTAATTAAAAAAATAGCCTTTCAATGAGACATCAATATGATAACTAGGCAGAAAGGAAAATAAATATTACACATATACTATAAACATTAATATCACAATAAACATAAGGTGCTCCAGAGGCACAATGGTTAAGCACTTGGCTGCTAACCTAAAGATAGGTGGTTCGAACCCTCCAGCAGCTGCATACAAGAAAAGACCAGGTGATCTGCTCCTGTAAAGATTATAGTGTAGGAAACCCTACAGGGAAGTTCTACTCTGTCATATATGTGGCATTGCTATGAGTCGGAACTGCTTAGACTGCAAGATTTTAAGGAAAAAAACAAACCAAACTCACTGCCATGAGTCGATTCGACTCATAGAGACCCCTCCTTGGGTTTCTGAGGCAGTATCTCTATGGAAGTATATTGCCCTGTCTTCCTTCCGAGGAGTGGCTGTTGGGTTTGAACTACTAGCCTCTGGGTCAGTAGTCAAATACTTTAGGTACTGCACCACCAGAGTGCCTAAGGTTTCAAGAGTTGTGTAACAAACATATTTTAAGAACCACCAGTCTTGAACAATTTTTCACATGTAGTACAAATTATAAACACTAAACAGAAATACAAACCAAAAAACCCCCCCAAAATACAACTTACCTACAGTTCACTGTTGATTTTCCACCTTCAAATTCAGAATTCTTCCCCCATCTTTTAGGTAATTCTAATACCATAAGTCCTTTTAGTCCTATAAGTGCTACATAATGTTGTGTTGGACTTAACAATACTTGATAGATTTCAAACAGTGGTGGATTTATACAAAGCAGTCTCTGGAAATTAAAGCAAACTGGTCAAAATAGTTCATTTTAATGTAAATATATGCAGCAGTTACTCAAAACCACATAATGGTTTTTTGTAACTGTTAAGATAATTCAACATTCTAGACACTAACACTTGGCCCATTAATTGAAGTTTTTAGCCAGTTAGTTTAGAATGTTATTTAAAATGCATCAAACTTCTCTACTTTGAGAAACGGAGACTACATGTAATTTTTCTATTAATGACCAAGCTCCAGCCTACTACTCTACTTTCAACTCTCCACTTACACTTTATCATTGTAGTCAGATGAACTTGTATTTCTAGAAAATCATCATGATTTGTTATGTCTCTAGGTCTTTATTTTTCCTGGAATGCTCTCCTTTTCTTTTTGTACCTGGCTAACAAGATTTACACATTCTTTCAAGTTCAGCTTGTATGCACTGCCCTCCCCCAAAAAAGAAAACATCCCTGATCAGAGTGGACTGTACCTTTTAGGTGCTCATATAGCACCCTGCATAATGATAGTTATCACCCTACATTCCAGTCACTTTTATTTGCTCATCCCACTCAACTGAGCATAAATTACTTCAAGGAAGGATCTGTACTTTTCCATTCTGTATCCTTAACATAGAATCTGGCATACTGCCAACTCTCAATATAGGGTTAGGGAACAGGAATATGAGGAACTTGGAAGTATTAATTAAGGGCAAATCACTAGGTTATAAATACTACAATAAGATAAAGACTAGTTTGGAGAACTTCTGCAACAAGGAGAGTGCTGTCTTCCTATGTAGATTTAAAATGAAATCGGTATTTTCAGGGGGTTCTGAAAAGCAGTTTGTCTCAGTATCACATACCCTCAACAAAACCCATTTCTATGGATGCTTCCTAGTTCTTCTGTCATGACAAATCTACCAAAAATTGCACACTATCTCCTCATCCTGTTTTGTTTTCCTTTGGAAAAACTTAACCATCACTGATACTTCGTTGATTATCCCATGGTCCAAGATTCTTCCCTTCCAGAAATTAAGCACCATCGAAGCGAGAGCTTAATCTCGTTTGGTCCCATAATAATGTCTGGCACGATGTCCAAGTCAGAAACTTTGGTCGAAGGAATGAAATAAGCCATGCTGGAGGGGGATGAAAATAAGGAAAGCTTTTCCACTCGAAGTGGGAGGTCCCGGAAAGGACGCCTGTTTACACTCCAATACCACACTTACTAGAAGATCCCAGAATGGGAACAAAAAAGAGTGCACATCCCGCTGAGGGTCGACTGCAAGGTCAGCTTGGCCTTACCTGATACTGGGAGAGGGAGAGTTCTTCACAACCGCCGCTGAGGCTCCGAAGGCGAACGACTAAGAAGGAGCTGCCTTCCCCGTCCCACAGGAAGATCTCTCCGCCGAGGCCGAACAGTAGGTTTCTAGTCAGCGACGGTAGCGAAGACAACGATGAAGAAGTCGATTTCTCAGCTTCAGCTGGGCTCTGGTTCTTCAATCCCTCCCGAAGGCGCAGGAACACGGCGTGGTTAGGTAGCCGGGTGTGCCACAGCTCACCGTCGTCCGAGGAACCCTCAGCAGCCGCCATCTTGTTCCAACTTGTCGCCTTATTCCAGTTGTTCAGCCCGCCGCTGAGCACAGCCAATTCGTGGCTAGCCGTCCACTCCTGCGGCCAATCATCGAGCAGGCGGCCCGGAAACACGTGTATAAAACTAGGGGCTGGGCGAGGATGAGGCCCGCCCATTAGCCTGAGAGGAGCCAATCACCAGTAAAGCACTTCTTCTGAATCCAGAAGGGGACGGAACGAGTAGGTCAACAAACTAGTAGCTGCTTAGGAAAAGCTTTGGTGCTGCGGAAAGTCTTGTAGCTCAGGGAGAGCCTGAGATCTGTGTATGTAATTGCCTATTGGATATCTCCATCTGCATAAACCCGTATATCCAAAACCTTTTCTCAAGTTCACCTCCCTCTTTCTCAATCTAAATTCGGTTAACATCACAAATGTAAACATGTCCAAAACCTTCCTTCAAGATTCACCTCCCTCTCGTTCAATCCAGTTTGGATTCACCTCACAAATGTCAATCTTTCTCTGCGTGCGGCAGACCGATAAAACACTTCCCAGAGTTCCCTGGCCTCCATCTAGAGCGATGAGCTTCCAGAAACTACAACTCCCAGAATTCTGCGCGCTGCGGGAGGGTTGGACTTTCTGGCGTCTACTCCCGCGAAGAGACCATGGCAGAGCCATCGGAATCTCCTCACCGCTCGCTGTACAAAGCAGTGGGTTCTCCGCCTTGGAAAGAGGCTTTCAGGCAGGTGAGTGTGGGATTTGTGACTAGCTGGGCTATATTCAGTCCTTTAATCCATCTCGGGACTGTTCTCCTCATGTGTCTTTGTGAGGCAGGTGCCGGAGCGCCTGGCCCTTAGAAGTTGACCCCCGGACCCAGGCCTCCTACCTGTAGGTCTGGAACTTGTCTACTCCAGCCGCCTCCGGAGTTTCTGGCTCCCCGGGTGTGGCGTTAGATCGGGCCAGCCCAGTCTCAGGAAGCTTTGTTTTCGGATTTGGGTCTGTTTCATATTTGAAGTGTGGCTCTGGCCTCACCCCTACTATAATAACAGCAACACCTGTGCGCCTGGCACGGAAAGAGGCACTTTGTATAAGTACAGGGCATGAAGTAGGAATTATTTCTGTTCTAGAGAGGAATAAACTGAGGCTCAATCCCTAAGTCTCAGCAGTTATACCCCATTTTTGTTCTAAACTATTCTAAACTCACCATGGTTCCTCAGAGAGTAATATTTTTTTTCTCTCCCTGAGGTAGTGGATATACCCCAGGAAGCCTAGAAACCCTGTGTGAAATAGAGGTTCTCGACTTTGGCACTGCTAACATTTGGAGAGGAATAATTCTTTGTCTTAGGAGCTGTCCTGTGCATTGTAGAATGTTTAGCAGCATTCCTGGTCTCCACTCATTAGATGCCAGCAGTCCTCTAGTTGTGACAACATTGCCAGATGTCACCTGGGAGACAAAATGCCCCCCCCCCAGGTTGAGATGCACTGTTATACAAGAAAGCAGTTATCTGGAGTAGAAAGAATTTGCAAGCAACCTAAATGCTCTCTAGTGGAGCAGGGAATGCTGAAATTTTATGCCCCCGACTATTAATAAAGATGACATTGAAGACAGAATATAAAATAGGATCTAGAAATACATGAATAAAGCATTATTTTCACCTGTTGTTTGAACAGGACTGGAAGGTATATGCAAAAATGAAAATAGGGTGGTGGAAACTTTGTGTCTATGGATTCACTTTAATGTTTTAACAATGAATCTAAAAGTTTTTATAAAAGAGACAATTGCCTTTTCTTTCTTTCTCTCCCTTCCCCACCCCTTCCTCTCTCCCTCCCTCTCTCCCCCTCTCTCTCCATCTCCCTTCTTATTCCAAGGGATGCCTGGAAAGAATGAAAAACAGCCGCGACAGGCTCCTGAACAAGTACCGCCAGGTTGGAGGCAATATGCCAGGAGGAGCTCAGAACACCCTTCTAGTGCAAGAGGTGATGCAAGAGGAGTGGAATGCTTTGCAGTTAGTGGACAGCTGTCCGGAGGTCTTGGCTCAGGTCAGGCTGGGATATGTGTTCAGGGAGTGGGCTACAGCAGCAAGAACTCCTAATGTCCTCTCTGCAACTCTTACTAAGTCCTCTAAACTCACTCACCTTCAGCCCCCAATCATGATTCTAACTGACTTTAACCCATGTCTTCCACCTTTAACGTTAGATTATTCTAGATCAGTGGTGTCTAAATACCAGACTGTAGAACTGATGCAGCATTGTTTCCTAATCACTATGAAACAAACAAACAAGCAAATGTATATTTATTCATTTAGTCCTTGTCTCTGCCCTGGAAATTTTGATTCAGTCCACATGGGTTAGGAATATTTCTTTTTAAAAAAATCTCCAGGAGCTTTTGAATTCTAATCTTAGCCTGGGCTGGGAGCTAGGTGTGGATAGGAAACCATTTATAGTGTATTAGGAAGAGCATTGGATTGGAAGTCAGGAATTCTAATCCTGGTTTTACTGTTTATCCATTATCAACTTCATTTGGTCTCTTGGAGCTTTAATTTTCACATTTATAAAATAAAAAAGCTAATATTGCCAGCATTGTAAGGATTATTTAAGAAAGCATGAAAAAGTGTTTTGAAAGTATCTTAAAATAATGATGCATAACTGGGTATCCTAGGAACTCTGATAGCAGAGGTAGGTGGTTAAAGCATTTAGCTGGTAACCAAAAGGTCATTGGTTCAAACCTACCAGCTGCTCCATAGGAGAAAGTTGAGGCAGTCTGCTTCTGTAAAGATTATAGGCTGGAAACCCTATGGGGGTAGTCCTCTATCCTGTAGGGTCGCTATGAGTCAGAATCAACTCAATGACAAGGGGTTTGGTTTCGATTTTCTGTGTGGTCCTACGGTATCTTAAATACTTGTCTTACCACAAGTACTGCTCATAATAACCCTCCCAGGCTAGTTTTGTCTCTACTTCACAGAAGCGGAAATTGAGGTTTACAGAGGTTAGAGAACTCTACTGTGGTCACATAACGTTGGCAGTACCATGTATTTGACTGCTACCATATACTGTCTCCTCAAAATTCGGTGTCATTATTCTGTTACTGGGTAGTTTGATCATTTGTTGATGGTTTCTCAGCATAACCACACCACCCAGTTGATGGCATATTCTACTAAAGGACTGGACAAGTTGATTCCCTGAGAGAAATCTGGATTCTTTTAGCCAGGTTCCAAGTATGATCATTGGGGAGTTTGATGACTTTAAAACGTCAGACGTCTGATGAGCTCCACTTTCTCTTGTAGGTGGAGGAGCCAATGGACCTGGCTGTGCTGGAAGAAATCCAACAGGAACTGATTGACCAAGGTGACCCCCAAGAGTAGTCTTTCCTACTCATATGTAACTACTCTAATGCTGACCTTTCCTCTGAATAGCATTAGTTATTAACTCCCCTCTTCTACCTCCATCTTCAGTTGAGTGTTCAGAAGTCACTGTTGACACTTTGAAGACTTGTCTTCCCAATAATGAGGATCTCTAGTGTGCTAGGCCTTGTGCAAAGAACTTCTCACTCCTTAAAGATACTGCCTCAGAAACTCAAAGAGAGGTTGCTATGAGTCAGAATCCACACGACAGCAGTGAGGTTTTTTTTTTAATGACCACCCTACAAGACAGTTATTAGAAGCAAAAGTGGTGTCTTACCCAAGTCACATAGCTAGTAAGTGGTAGAGTTGGGAAGCAAAATCAGTTGTGTGAACCTAGTTTCAACGTTTATTTCACTGTCCTACAGTACTTTTCTGTTGATCAAAAAAAAAAAAAAAAACCAAACTCACTGCCATTGAGTTGGTTCCAACTCATAGCAACCCTTCTGTGGGTTTCCAAGGCGGTATCCTTACAGAAGTAGATTGCCCAGTGTTCCTTCCAAGGAGTGATAGTGGGTTTGAACCACCAGCCTTCTGGTTAGCAGTCAAATGCCTTAGGCATAGGTTAATAATCATCCTCTCACTTTACAGGATACAATTTAAGTGCCTCTCTCCCATCCATTCTTTTTTTTTTGTCAAATAATATTTTTCTAAGTTTTTTGTGAAAATTTACACAGCAAGTTAGGTTCCCATTTGACAGTTTCCACACAAATTCCCAGTGATATTAGTTACATTTATCACAATTCTTTTTAATTTTGCTCTGTTTGTTCCATTTAGAGTACTCTAGTCTACCTGCCCGCTTATCTTCTCATCTTTGCTTCTGGGTAACTGTTGACTTTTCAGTTTCATTCCAGTGGTACTTAAGTGGAGCACTAAGCTTATGAGTGGTATCTGTTACTTTGTGTGCCACTCTGCTATTTCACTAAAGGGTGATCTCAGGGGATAGGCTCAGTTCTAGGTTTAAGGAATGTTTCAGAGCAGTAGTCTCAGGGAGTCCTCTGTTTGCTACTGTTCCAGTTTAGCTGTATCTCTTCTTCTTTTTTAAAAATACATTTTATTAAAATATAATTTATGTACAGTGAAATATACAAAACTAAGGTGACATGGGTCAGTGCATTTTCCTTTTTTCTTTTTTTTTTTTTTGCAGTATTCCCTTCCCTCCTCCCCCACCCCTAGTAATCAACAAAGAAAGTTTCCTTCCATATATAAACCTTTTCTTGACTTTTTACAATAGCGGACTAATACAATGTTTGTCCTTCTGTGATTGACTTATTTCACTCAGCATAATGTCCTCCAAGTTCATCCACATTATGCGGTGTTTGGCAGATTCTACATTATTCTTTAGGGTTGCATAGTATTCCATTGTGTGTATGCACCATAGTTTGCTTATCCATTCTTCTGTTGATGGGCACCTAGGTTGTTTCCATCTTTTGGCTATTGTAAATAGTGTTGCAATGAACACGGGTGTGCATATATTTGTTCTTGTCCTGGCTCTCACTTCTTTAGAATACATACCTGGTAATGGGATTGCTGTGTCTAATGGTATTTCTAATTACAACTTTTTAAGGAATCACCATACTGCCTTCCACAGAGGTTGTATCATTTTACAGTACCACCAGCAGTATATGAAAGTCTCACTCTCTCCACGTCCTCACCAGCATTTGTTATTTTCTGTCTTGTTGAACTTTGCCATTAGTGCTTGGGTGAGATGGTATCTCATTGTTGTTTTGATTTGCATCTCTCTGATGGCTAATGGTTGTGAGCATTTCTTCATGTATTTGCTGGCTGCCTGAATATCCTCTTTGGTGAAGTGTCTATTCATGTCTTCTGCCCATTTTCTAATTGGATTGTTAATCTTTTTGTTGTTGAGGTGTTGGAGTTTTTGATAAATTTTAGAGATAAGTCCCCTGTCAGATAGTCATTGCCTCTCCCATCCGTTCTTGACTGATACCTCAGGGTCATGTGAACATCTACTCCTTGGGGCATCCATAGCACTGTGAGGAATGCATAGTTTAACACCTTATATCATTAAGTCATTTATTCCACATAGCCTTTTGTTAACTAGACTTAGTTTTTCTCATCCCTAAAATAAAAATAATATAACTACCTTATAAGTTTTTTATAGGGCTTAAATAAAACAATAGGTGTACAGGACTCAGAGCAGTGCCTGGTGTACATAGGATTGTACTCAATGGACAGCTTCTGCGAGCATCAGAAGTAAGTGCCCTGTAGTGTCAGCTCAAGTCTGGACTGTGAGCTCATCAAGGACAGGGGCCATTCTTTTTTGTCTGTCCTCCAGTGCCCACCGCATATTAAGTATTATTGCATGTTGCTGAATGAATGAGCACACAGATTCTGAACAATACAGGTACTACCATTGGGGCACAGCTCACTTTAAACTCATCAGGATGGACCTGGCATCAGAAGTAAGTGCCTTGTTATGTCAGCTTCCTCCAGGTGCCCTAGGACTCTGACATTCCACATCTTTGCCCTTTTGGCCTTTGAAGATGTGTATCAAAGTTGTTTCCTTGTCCTTTAGCCTCACAAGGAGGGGACAGACCAGGGATGAAGGGGAGGGCAACAAGATGCTGCTAGCCTAAGACAGCAATAAAGCTTGTATGTTTTTGCCGGAATCTTTTACTTGTTTGGAGGATGCTGTTAAAGGTGCCGCTTAGCATTGAAAACAGGGCAGTCTGGGTAAAGCGTGGCAAAGCAGTGTGGTTGTCCTTTGCCTTACAGAACAGTCCATCATCAGTGAGTATGAGAAGAGCTTGCAGTTTGATGAACAGTGTCTCAGCATCATGCTGGCTGAGTGGGAAGCAAACCCCCTCATCTGTCCTGTGTGCACAAAGTAAGAGTTTTCAAAACCTTTTCAGCATTATTGGTTTCCAACCCCACTCCAAGGTGAGTGGAATTTCCCCCCAAGTTTGCTGGCTTGGAAAGGTCTGGGGCTTCAGCTCTTGTGTCCATGCAGCCCCTGATACTATGGGATCCCATTTCTGCCTTTAGGTACAACCTGAGAATAACAAGCAGTGTGGTCGTGTGTCAGTGTGGCTTGTACATCCCATCTCACGTGAGTGTTCACATACAGATTCGGGGCCACTTCTTCCCACACGCATCTACTTCCTTAAACAGCCTTCAGTGGTGCATTAGAGCCGATTGTGTGTATGTCTTTCCAACTATGTGTCTGGAGATGTCACATTAATAATTTGAAATTGGCCACAGGAGAATATTTACAGCATAGAAATTAATAAGAACTACAAATCAAGGTCTCTCCAACTCCCCCCAAGCCATTTGTTAAACGTTATTGCACCACTGTTTAAGATTTTTATAGAAATCCCAGTTTAGAATTGGAAACATCTGTATTGAATCTCCCATAAAAAATTTGACAAACATGTGAGACCAAAATGGCAGCATGTACCCAAAAACAAAGCACAGAAGGCAGAAAGGGGCAGGAAAGAAGGATGAATGGAAATGAGAAACCTAGGGCAGAGGGAAGAGTATTGTTACATTGAGGGATTGCAACCAATGTCATGAAACAAAATGTGTATAAATTGTTGAATGGAAAACTAATATGCTCTGTAAACTGTTACCTAAACTCCATTTTTAAAAAAAGGGAGGGGGTGTATATTAAGGCATACCTATATTCCGAATTTAAGGTTCATTGTTGTTGTTGTTGTTATGTGCCATCAAGTCGGCCCCGACTCATAGTGACCCCTCCTTGGGTTACCGAGGCAGTATCACTACAGAAGTAGATTGCCCCATCTTCCTTCCGAGGAGTGGCTAGTGGGTTTGAACTGCCAGCCTTCTGGTTAGCAGTCAAGTGCCTTAGGCACTATGCTACCAGAGCTCCTAACTTTGCTCTTAAAATATAGTAGGAGCCCTAACTAGATAAGGACTGAAAGTTTCCCAGGTAATTCAGCAGTTCATTAAAGTGACAAATTATAAAAATGTAAACCTTGTTTGTTAATTTTAAGACATGAATTTATTTGCCACTCTTTGAGGGAGGCTCTGCTGGTTATAGATCTGAGTCATTTTTTTACAAACCTCAGTCTATCGTGCATAAGCTGAAGTTCCGGTTTTATTTCTATGAAGTGGACCAAGAAGCTGAGTGTATAGCTTCAGGATTTTTCCTTTCTCATCTCCACCAGACACTCCTCAGAAGGAAGATTGCACAATCTACTTCCGTAGTAATACTGCCTCAGAAACCCAAGGAGGAGTTGCTATGAGTCGGATCTGACTCAATAGCAGTGGGTTTGGTTTTTGGTTTCATCTAATTCAGTAGCTTTAAAAAAAATTTTAATGAGCAAATCATTTTGAGTGTTTCTTAAACATTACACTTATTGTAAAAACAAAAACTGTTTTTCATTCTCATATTTCATTAGTTTACGTAGCCCGTAATTGTTGTTGTTGTTGTTATGTGCCGTCGAGTTGGACCCGACTCAGAGACCCTTCCTTGGGTTTCTGAGGCAGTATCATTATGGAAGTAGATTGCCCAACCTTCTTTCCGAGGAGTGGTTGGTGGGTTAGGTTTTAGGTTACTATAATTAGCACAAACAGCTCTGAGACCAAACATGACCGGCTCTCGGTAAGGGTACTACTCTCAGCTGGTGGAGGCAAAAGTATGAGGGAGGCTAGAAAGGAACCTAGTCGCTCTGAGTGCTTCATGTGCTGTGAACAGTGGTCAGTGTGTCTTTTAGCAGGAGTGGAGAGCACTGGTTAATGTGGACAGGAAGTGGAGATTGGTTAAGAGACCTTGTTAGCATAATCAGAACCCAAAGAGCCTGTGTAAAGGACCAAGGAATCAAGCCTTCCAGTGAGCCAGTTATATTGGTCGGTATGAGGAATCAAGATTTCCAACCAGTTCACTCTAATGTAACTTAAGATTCGGTTGTAATTTTTCACTTCTCAGTCTCCAGAGTTGACAGAGCAGAAGCTTCGTTCCTTCTTAGAAGATCACATACATGAGCACAGTGTACACTGTCCCCACACACCTGAATTTTCAGTCACTGAAGGAACAGAAGAGAAGCCCAATCTTCTCATGAGTTGTCTGGTAAGCCTCCCATGGAACTCAGTGGTAAGAGAAGGTCAGTAGTCGATTTTATTCCCATGTTAACAGAAATAATAGCTTAGAAATTGTTAAATGTTTTAAAAATGCAGTTTATTCTGTGAGGAATTAATTGGCATGGAAGAGTGAAGATAACAAGTCATCTCCCCTGTACCTGATGCCATATCCCCTATAACACTGTTGCAGTTATTCAAACGTCTTTGAACATTGAACAAGGGCCCTATCTTTATTTTTATTCTCATTTTATTTTTACTTGGCACATAACGAAAAACAAACCAAACTCACTGCCATCGAGTCAATTCCTACTCATAGCGACCCTCATTGGGTTTCCAAGGTTGTATATCTCTACAAAGCAGACTGGCTTATCTTTTTTCTGTGGAGCAGCTGGTGGGTTTGAACCACTGACCTTTTGGTTAGCAAACAAATGCCTTAACCAGTCCACCACCAGAGCTCCTTACTTGGCACACAGGAAGATACTGTTTGTTTGTAGAAGGGAATTAAGATGGGAGGAGAGTTAAAAAGGCACCAGTTAGATGGCTTCTGTTGTCTTAGAAGAATGAGTGTAATGGTAGAGGGCCTGGAGTGTGGAGCTCCTTAAGAGTGTCTAAGTTTTATGGTGGCTAAAGCACTTGACTGCTAACCAGAAGACTGGCGGTTCAAACCCACCAGCCACTCCTCAGAAGGAAAGACCCCAAAGAGGGGTCGCTATGAGTTGGGGCCGACTCGACGGCACGTAACAACAACAACAACAAGTTTTATGGAGAGAGCAATCATAGGAGAAAGAAGGGCTGTTTGTGCATGGGGAGACAGTTCAGGGGGCAGTGGTGCATGGAGGGATGGACACAGGGAATTGATGACTGTCGGGAGGAAGTGGGAGGGGAGCTGTTGCACTGTGGTGAATTGTGGTCAATGTCATGAGACAAAGTGTATGTGAACTGCTATATGGAAAGTGAATTTGCTCCTTAAATTTTCACCCAAATCAAAATAAAAAAAAAAAAGAAAAGGAGTGTCTAAGTTTTAAACCAAGTGCTGGAGGGTTATGGGAAAGGCAGTTAAAGAGGAAGTGGATTGCCTGATGATTGCATTGTTTATAGCCAAGACTGCAGCATTTGTTTCTCATGGACCCCATTGTCCATGCACCTACCATCAGTGCCCTGCAGCTCAAGGCAGCAGTGAAGCCAAGTGGATGGATAGGTTTGGAAGGAGTGTTGTAGGAGGCATCAGCAGTCTTAGGAGAGTGTGATTTCCAGTGATGACTCCAGGGTGAGCAGGGAGGCCATTCTTGGGGTAAAGGGGTCATAGTAAATATGAGAAGAGTGAGAAGGACAAAATTGTATTAACAGAATCCCAGAATTCACCATTTTGAAAGGTAGAACATTCAAATGCTCTAAAACACTACTGTGCCAGTAGGCCTTTCATTTAAATTAAGGGGAAATCAAGGAAGAGTCAAGGGCCATTGGGTTCAAGATGTAATGAGGTCAGGCTGTAGGTCAATTCAGTATTGGTGGTGGAGATGAAATAGAAGGTAGGTGTGGCAGTTGAACATTGAACAAGGGCCTAGAAAGGAGCCTAGTCACTCTGAGTGCTTCGTGTGCTGTGAACAGTGGTCAGTGTGTCTTTTAGCAGGAGTTAATATGGGAAGAGTGAGAAGGACAAAATTGTATTAACAGAATCCCAGAATTCACCATTTTGAAAGGTAGAACATATATATATATATATATATATATATATATATATACTCTCTCTATATATATACCACAAGAACTGAAAATATTTGAGGTATGAGAGGGACAGTAAGTGGTCTCAGAACCTTTATGGCTGTTCTGGTTACCTAGTGACAAGAATATACCACAAATGGAATGGCTTGAACAACAGTTTATTCTCTTACAGTTTGGAGGCTTTAAGTCCAGGTTCACAGTGCCAGGCTCTAGGGGCTGGGTGAAAGCCCCTCAACCTTGGGGTCCAGCTCTGCCTCCTGCACCCGGCCCACTGGAGCTAGAGGCGTTTCTTCACTCAGACAGCTGCTGGCTGCTGATGCTGAGAAGCCCCAAGGTTGACAAGTCAAAAGGCACAGTCCCAATGTTACCAAACTACACGGCAGGCCATTAACTTCAGTCCATTGTAAGTCCTAAAGTTGGCAGAGCATAGCAGGCTGCTGAGCAATGACACGGCTACATGCAGGGTCCAAGCGTGCCATAAGCTAGAGACCATTCCCAAGGCTTCTCCTTATATCCAGGAAGCAGACCACATCCCAAAGGCAGCTACTCAGCTGCTTTTGGTAGATCCCACCGTGGAGTTGATTGCCAGTCTCATTGTGGGGAATAACTACCACCAGCTGCCCAGCCACTCAACCAGGCCCAGCCAAGTTGACACACAAACATAACTACCACAATGGCCCAGTAGGGACATGAGTCCATCTTCACTGTTGGATGGAATGTGCTAAACCATTGCTGTTTAGCAGGATTATAAGGTAGTGTCTTCCAGAGAAAACCAAATATATTCTGTGGAAGAAGAGTCTGTGTCTATGGTCAAAGTTAAGAACAAAATTCCTTAACATAATGGTGGGGCTGAGCTATTAAGGAATCAGAGGAGCCAGTTCTATCATCTTACTCAGGGAGTTCCCAAGTTGCTTCTGCCTGCAGTGAGCATAGTTTGTACCTCTGCTATGACACAAGCCCTTTCAGTCTCCTGTTGAAGTTGCAGGACTCTCACGTCCTATTGTGCTATGAAGACTCCAAGTGGTCAAGAATTTGAATAGTCTTTCTAGTCACTGGTTTACTGGGGGTGAGGATATTTGAGTCATCTCTAGGATTTGATCTTTGCTTTAAAACTATATAGGAGCTCTCGTGGCACACTGGTTAAGTATTTAGCTAGTAACCAAAAGGTCAGCAGTTTGAACCCACTAGCCACTCCACAGGAGAAAGATGAGGCAGTCTGCTTCCATAAAGATTTGAAGCCTTGGAATCAACTCAGTGGCAGGGGTTTTAAGACTATGCTGGTGTCAATGGTTTCAAAGGCAGTCATTTTAAGACTGCAGTCATTTTAAGAGGCCCAGCAAAGATGAAGAGCAGGAGTCATCAATGGCCTTTGACAACACACACATCACTTAATTTCGTAATTGAACTGAACTCTGACATCACCTGTAGGTAGCATAAATGTCATCATTGGCGTGTAGTGAAGTAACTTTCATGACTGAAATACAAAATAAGCTAACCATTTCTTCTGTCAATTTAAATCCAGGCTTGCGATACTTGGGCTATCATCCTCTAGAGCCGGCCTTGATGCAACATCATTTTACTGAGTTGGAAACAACTCACTCCATCTGTAATGGCCTTGTATATACAAATCTTTTATTTATAACTTATTTTGTATTAAAGCTTTCAAATTCTCTGAGTCTTTTGTGATACAGGTTGAAGGAGAAGAGAGAAAACTACCATGAAGGGATAAAGCGATTTTATTGTTCATCATTATGTTATACAAAAAAAAAAAAAATCCAGAAATAATAGATTTGTAGAGAAGAAATAAATGAATAGTAGACAGGAGCACAACAGAAATAATTTAAGCTTGAATTATTTTTCCCATGATACTAGGATGATAACCATTTCAAAGCACACATGTCTGCTCTTCAGGGTAGGTTTTGTTCACTGGCCAAAGCCTGCCATATTCATTGTCTCTGTCTGCTCTACTGGCTCTTGACAAAACTTTTGAGGTCTTCTAGGAAAGCAATGTACTCCTGGTGTTCCAGGGCTGTGCTGAGCTCCACCAACTCATCTGCAAAAGTGTTGTCCACCCCTCTGTCCGCAAGGAAATCCATTAAGTGGTCATAGAGGGCCTACAAGGGGAACATTTACTTGTTTAAGGGGGGGGGGAGAAAAAGACTGAAAGACTTCATCTGTAATGGTTATTAAAATGCTGCTTTGTCTCTCCTCTGAGTAGGACCCTCCCTTGTAAGGCACCCCATCTCATCCAGTATACTCACCCAGTCCAGGGAATCGGTATTGAGTGTGTACTTAGTGTCATTCCAGTCAGACTCATCAGTGGATTGAAAACTCACTTCCCTGATGGAGAAAATGTCATTCTCCTCTTCCTCTTCTTGTCCAACCTGTGAAGAAACAGAAACTGAAAGGCTTTCCAGGGCAAGCCAGACTTATCCAAGGAAAGGGGGCAATTCAGTTTGAAACTCACCAGATCTTAACCTTGCTCCCTCACCAGCCCTCCTCCCCTGCTTTGCTGGTCTAAGCTAGAAAGCATAAGTGTCCAATAAAAGGGAACAGAAAGGCCTGGGATCACTCTTTGTTCCCAGGGCTAGCATTCCATCCTACATACCTCATCCTCTGGATAATGGCAGTCTAGCACAAGGGCCTTCTTGCCATCACTCTTTGTAACTTCAACCACAAAATTGGGAGTGGACGTCAGTTCAGGCTGGGGAAACAAGAACAAGAAGTCAGTACATGCTGTGCTTCATGGGTGTTGGTTACTTGGACCACAGGTCTGATGGCCACCACTACTATTAGGATATCATTTGTCCACTTCTATAGTCTTATGCTATAGTGCCACCAAATAAGGAGCCTAGGATCTTTATCAGTATTAAAGCCACACTCCAATTCATTCAGGAGACCGGCCTGAACTCTTCCTGTTGATCCTTTCTAGAGTTCTAGGCTAACTTTTAGATGGTAGACTATTTAGCGGCCATGCTTAACTTTCCATTAGCACATACCTCTAGGCTTAGAATTGAGACATCTCAGTCCCAGTGCCGGCTATGTGCCAACTAACTGAGATCTGGATAAATCCCTTAATTTCCCTGGGTCTGTCTCCATCTATACGCTGCAAAGTGGACCTAAAGCTCCAAGACCTTTTTCCACCTTGACTGTCCTGGGAGTCTTCCTGGATTAGGACCCAGGATGAAGGCCAGTGCACCTGGCTCCCTGGCCATCCTAACTGCTGCTGAGCCTGGGAACAGAACAAGCCCACATGTGAGCTGCAGCGGCTGAGACAAAAGTATACCAGACAGCTGTGTCCTGTGCCAAGCCATGAGACAATGTAGACGCCTGTGGAGTCAGAAAGTTTGGGGGCCCTGGGGCCTCACTTCAGGCTAGTTTCTAGGCTAGACACACTGCTTCCTAACATGTTTGAACACTGGGCACCACCCAGGTCCACAGCAACCTAAGGCACACTCTCACCTGGCCAAATGTTAAATAAAACCTAACGCACCTGGCTTTGCTACCTTGGTTGAGGTGACTGGGTGTTTATTACCAGCCTGACATGTTAGTGACATTCCTCACCTGGAAACAATCCAAGTGATAATCTCTGACATCAAACATCTCATCATGGAAAGGGTTAAGTTCCAAATTCTCACATTAAGAAAACAGAGGCCAAAGTCCAGAGCCTGAGCCTACAGACAGCAACGTATTCAGTCCATGGGAAGGAAAAGGTGCCACACAGCTCTAGTGCTAAAGCTGGCTAGGTTACAGCCAGCTGTACAGGTTACTGCTGTGAGGTTACTGCTGCTCTACAGTTCAGGATGGTTTTCCTCTACCTTCTCTCCTCTTCTAGCATTAAACTAGTTGCCACCAAGTTGGTTCAGACTCATGGCAACCCCATGTGTGTTAGAAGAACTGTGCTCCACAGGCTTTTAATGGCTTTGATTTTTCAGAAGTAGATCCCCAGGCCTTTCTTCCGAGACACCTGTGGGCGGACTTGAACCTCCAAACTTGCAGTCAGTGGCCAATCACTTAACGATCTGTGCCACCCAGGGACTCCTACTATAGCAGCAGCCAATCACTTGACACTCTGTGCCACCCAGGGACTCCTACTGTAGTAGCAGCCAATCACTTAAAGCTCTGTGCCACCGAGGGAGTCCTGTAGCCTGCCAGAGATCTGAGGGGAAGGCTGGTTACAGTGTTACAAGCTTACCTCTTGTTCTTCAACTTTCTGCCCTTGTGAGGGCTCCTCCCCATCAAATGTTGGTGGGATGCTATTGTTAATGTTGAAAGTGACGGTAATCCTAGAAGGGCAAAGGAAAACAGACATCTTGCAATGAGACAAGTATGGAGGACTGCTATAGGCAACACTTCCTGAAATAATGTCTCTACCTAGCTGGCTGTACAACTGAATTATCTGCAGAACTTTGAAAAACAAGCCTGAATGTCTACATCCAACCTTGAGACTGATTCAGCAGGCCTCAAGTATGCCCACTTTGTGCCAGCTTCTGCAAGTCAAACAAATACGCTCTAGTTCCTTTGGGGACACTACAGTCATATGTGGGCTACTTTCAGCAGGCCAGCGTCCCAAGGCTCACCGCCAACACATGGTTGCGGGCAGCTGGCACTGGCAGCCCTGGTCCCTCTCGGTGCCCTTCTGGTGGACAACTGGTGAAACAGAAGCTCCTTGAATAGCTTTTTCCATCACAAAGCCTGCCTGCGAAGAAGGGACAAGCGATCCCTAGAGATGTACAGCAGCTGAGGACTGCAAGGAGCCCTGGGCTTCAATAACAGTATGCTGCAGGCCAGACTCACTCTTCACTGTGTGTATGGGCGGCTTCCTATTCCCAAAACAGGCCAGAAACACTGACTAATAACCATTTTAAAATGCAGCCATTCTCACCTGACAAATCACATTCCAAAGCTTGAGTCAAAATGGTGCTAGATTTGGAATTAGCACTGCTGGGCTGCCCGACTCCAGCAGCTACCATTCCCATTTGCTTCCTGTGAAGGACACCTCTTGGAGCACAGTAATATACTGGCCCCTGGAGTTGCACAAACGGGCTACCTTGCCAGGAAACCATTTTCTCATAGGACCAATGATGGCATGAGGTTCAGCAGTGATGTTTGTTGCAGCATTATTTATAATGGCCAAAAACTGGTTAGGACTCACTGTCCAGCCCTAAGGAAATAGTTTAGGTGAAGTTACAGAACACGCAATTGATCTATGTATGGGGGAAAACAAAACAAAACTATACATGAGGCCAAAGAGAATCAGGATTCTATCTCACAGATACACATAAGTCAACTCAAAATGAATCACAGACCTAAACCTAAGTGAAAGAACTACAAAAACTCAGAAGAAAATGTAGGTGTTAACTCTGTGACCTTGGGTTAGGCAATGGTTTCTTAGGACAATAAAAGCACAAGTGACAAAAGGAAACAAACAAAAGAAAATGGGCTCCATCAACACTACAACAAAGGACACCAACAAGAAAGTGAAGAGAGCCCACCAAATGGGAGAAAATATTTGCAAATCATTGATCTGAGAAGGCAATTGTATCCAGAATATATAAATAGGCAAATCTATAGACACAGAATGTAGATTAGTGCTTACAAAGGGGAAAGAATGATTAATGGGGAGTGACTGCTAATGGGTATAGGTTTGTTTTTTGGAAGAGGGGAGAGGGATGAAAGTGTTCTGAACAGACGAGATGATCAATGCACAGCTAGGAATACTAAAAACCACTGACCTGGATGAACACTTTAGGAAAAAAAACTAGAAGATGCTAAATGTTTATTTGTCCAATAGGATTAAGGATGACTATCCTGCAGAAAAGTATGAACAAGAATTTAACAAGCAGAGGAGCTAAACTAGGTCAAAAGATACCTCCCATTGCAAACCTTACTGTTTTGTAAGCCAATTCGGTTACATGAGTTACAGGTCTTGCTTTTTCACTTACTGTAAACATTTAGAGAGGCGCTCTGGTGGCCTAGTGCCTAAGGCATTTGACTGCTAATCAGAAGGCTGGTGGTTCAAACCCACCAGCCACTCCACAGAAGGAAGCCTGGGCAACCTTCTTCCATAGAGATACCACCTCGCAAACCCAAGGAGGGGTTGCTATGAGTCCAGTTGACTAGACAGCAGTGAGTTTGGTTTTTTGGTTTAAACATTTAAGAGAGTAGGGTTCTTGTTTTACCCAGCCACGGAGCCTGGTGGCATATTAGTCAGCACTGTAAACCAGAGATCAAACTGATTATTTTGTTTCATTGGTAATGTAAGAATTTCTGAATTTGCAGGCCTAAATTTAGACAAAGTATGGCCTCTTCACCAGTAAAAATCTACTGAACGGACTGTCTTTACCATCCAATAAGACTTTCAGCCACCTGCTTTCGTGCTCCTTCATTACCGTTTCCTCAGCAACCAGCCCACAGCAAATTATGTTCAATGAATCACCTGGAACATAAGAACTTGTCCAAGTGTACCCTCCTCTTTCTCTTGACAATTATGTATCAAAGAACCTGCCTTAATCTAAACTATTCTGGGGTTGGCCTAGGGCAGGTCCTGGAGGGTCCTGGATTTGATCCTGCAGTTACCACGTCCCAAGCCCGGTACTTACTTTTCCCCAGCAACTTTCCGCACTAATTTAGCTTCTGTCCCTTTCACTTCCAGTTCCCAACCTCCAGACACCTTGGGGAGGGACTTATGCTTCTGGATCTTCTTCTCTTCCTTAATTTCATCACTCAGGAACTCAACAAAAGCTTTGTCTCCTAAAATGAATAACCAGATGACACAGAAAAAGCCGTTTAGTCTAAAGGATAAAACAGTAACCTAGATGTGGCAGCCAGATACCAGAACTTGTACTTTTTCTAATCTCTTTGCTATTAACAGTTGCTCTGGGAATTTAGTCCAATTCACATCATTATGCCTCGTTTGTAAAAATGCCACAATACTATCAGTGGGAAGTTGAGCTTGATTCTGGAAAAGTGACTTCCAACAATGAACTCTACCACGTTTTGCCACAAAGCTAAAAAACCTCCAAATTACCCTTTTCAACTTTTGCTAACAGACATAACCATGCTACTTTCAACCACCGCTTCCTAAAATTCCATTTTCGCTAGCCTCCGGATAAAGTCGGCGTGCAGGTTTAATTTTGTATTTCCTGGAATGAGGAGAGGGAACGTGCTGACACGTAGGTTTAACGACCCACTGTCTGCTAATCAACGGACAAAATATTCCGGATCTCTGGGCAGTAGACTACTGTCTAAATTTTCCCGTTCCTTCCCCGGGCCCCGAGGTCCTCCCACCCGTCCAGGGATCTAGCCCTCACGTCCCCAGTCCAAGAATGGACACTCACCTTCAGTGTGCAGGGCACCACAGCCACAGCCGCAAGCGCAGGGCCCGCGCTGTCCCAGGAGGCTGGTCCGCCTAGCCGAGCCCGCGCGCACGCTGAGCAGCCCGAAGGGCCGGGCGAACAGCCGAGGCGCTGGCTGCAGCAGCTGCCGGAGCTGCTGGGAGGGCGCGGCGGGGCGGAGGCCGGACACAGCGGAGCCCAGGGCACGGGGCACGCAGCACCGGAAGGGCAGCATCGCAGAGGCGACAACTGCGGCGCGGCACGTGCGGATGCGAAGGGCAATTGGGACCAAGGGAACCTCTGACCTCCCTCGCTGCCGGAAGTACCTCCCTCGCAAAGGAAGCAGTTCCCGCGCCGCCACTTTAAAGCTCCAAAGCTTCGTGGGCAGTACTGCGCCCTCTGTCCGGAGCCTCCGGTTCTGAGTCTCCCAGAGCAATGTTCAAGGCTTTCAGTTTTAAGTCGCCATCATCAGTTCTCTCTCATGGACGCTTAAACAAACTAGAACCAACTGCCCATAGAGTCGATTCCGACTCAGAGCGACTCTATTGAACGAGTACTACTGCCCCATAGGGTTTCCAAGGCTGTAAAGCTTTAAGGAAGCCGAATGCTTCATCTTTCTCCTGCAGAACAGCGGGTGGGTTGGAACCATCAACCTTTTTGGTTAGCAGCCTAACGCCTCTACCACTGTGCCACCGGAGCTCCTAATTCCCATCTACTGTTCCCAAAGCATGCCAGGACTCATATGATTTCGTAGAACGTAACTTTGCTCAACTGCAACACTTCCCTAAAGATCCGACTCCACAGTCACCTCCCTTAAAACCTTCCTAGGGCAGAGTACCCAAAAAGCAAGGTAAGCACAGGCTTATTTGTGCTTAGTTACTAATTCGGTGAAAAATATGCAACTGTTCACTACAGATTAGTAAATAAATACAAGTAAGCCTGTGCCTACCTTGCTTGTTGGGTAACAACAGTGGGCTTTCCTGGTACATCATCTCTCCCACTAGATAGTCCACCCATGCCTTCGCACTCAAAGCCCCTCGGCTTCACTTTCTGCAGAGACCTCCTGGCATTGCTGTTCGACCTGGCCACCTCCCCTCACCCCAAGGCTGTGAGCTCCTGAAGCGCAGTCTGTGATGAATTCCTGTGCCCTCCCTCTCTTGCATCCTCTAGTCTCCTACCTAAGTTCTGATGCAACATGATTGTTCTGCAGCAAGAAACCACGGCTTGTACCAGCTTCAGGTTAAGAATGATACACAGGATATATAAAGTAGCAAGACAATAGGTGACAAATTAGTGACAAGGATTAAGACTAATGCTTTATATATGCTAAACAGCTTTCTGTGAATAGGGAAAGGACCCAAGAAAGAGATCACATCCGTCATGTATAAGATTCATTTTTAATGGATTCAATAGTCATGTGCAAGTCAGAGCATTATATACACAAGAGCTCATGTTTCTACAGAGCTATGTCTGAGCAAGACCAGACTCTCAAAATACAACATAAACCCAAACCAATTTGATTTTTTCTGACTTGTTTGTTTTTTGGAAGTTATAAAAATTCTGATCAAATAAAGTATCATACAATTCTTGTTTCCCCAGAGGTACAGTGTTTCCTTATGTGCTTACAGAATAGTATCTGGCCACAGTTCTAAGCAGCTCCTGGTAAGTGGACTGAGCAGATTTAATCATCACAGTACACAGTGAGTCTTACCCAGAATACAAAAGCTTCCCTCTGTCCAGGTATTTTCTTAAAACCAGGAGATGTAACATTAAGGTTTTTGTTTTTTTTTCCAGGACTCCGTGTCTGCAGTTCTTTGCCTTGTAATTAAACTGTTATTTATCACAGACTTCTCACCCTACATGAGGACTGGAAGAAAAATGCCCCAGATGTGCAATCTGCTCAGAGTGCATCTATTTACACGAGGCTGCTCATGGGAACTATTTCATGGGTTGGAAAAGAAATGTCACACCATCAGGGGCTTTACCCATTGGGAAAAAAAAAAAAAAAAAAAAGGAGCTCAAGAATATAATGCAACATCATTGTGAAACAGTTAACTTTCTTAAGAAAGTTTCAATTTAAAGTGTACTGTCCCCTGCAGCTCAATATACATGACCATTTATTTCTCTGTAGTCATTAATACATGGAGTCAGATGGGTTTTCCAATCTGATTTAATCCCTGAGCAGCTATGTTAAAAGTTAACGTCTTAAAAAGCCCAATACAAAACTAAATACCATATTAAAACTCTACCAGAATATTACAGTGATAAACATCTTTCTGTACAGAAATGTTAAAGCTACTTAGAAGGTGCTTACACTTTTACCCTTATTCCCACTCAGAAAAGAATATATATATGTCTGAAAAGTGTTCAGGTATTCAAGCTAGACATAAACTACTTCCAGTGAAGTTTTACCTGAATCAGAGAACACCTCTAGTTAGAGACAATATGCTGAAGAATATAAATAAATTGCTGTACCTCTAATTTTTTTACCATTATGATGAACATTTTCTTAGAAATATATTTCTTTTTACCAAGTCAAACATCCCAGCCCTCTATTTAATAAATGAAAAAAAAACTTAAAAAGAAAAATTTGTCAGAAAGTCAGGAATGGTAATAACCAGTTGATCTGAGGAAGAGTCAGCTAAAAGTGTATGTTTTGTGTATGTGTGCATGTGTGTGAGCTGCCATCAAGTCGGCCCTGACTCATGGCAACCCTATGCACCACAGGACTGGACCATTGTGATCTATAGGGTTTCACTGGCTGATTTTCAGTATATCACCAGACCTACTACTAAGTACCTCCTACTAGGAACTTAGTCTGTCCTAGTCTAGAAGCTCTGCTGAAACCTGTTCAGCATCATAGCATCTCACATGGCTCCGCTGACAGCCATGTGGATCTCTGTCAATTCATTCTGTTTGGCTTAAATGTAACTTTTTAATAGAAATAAGTTACACATGCCCCAACACCCCATGAACACTGGTTAAAAGCTTGAATGCTCAAGACTAGAGCCAGTGTCACAGAAACTGAGCCAACTTTGACATGCACAACTGTGGACAGATCAGATTTTGGGACTGAGACGCTCCATTGCGCTGTAGTCACAGAGAAGAGATCCTAGACCCTGACTGAGGAGACTGTCCTCTTTGAAGAAGATGCCAGGCACGGTTTGGCCCCATGTCTACACACTGCATGATTCACTTTGCAGTGGTAAGTAACGACCAAAACACTGCAGAGACGTGTTTAGACCAATAAAGCAAAATAAAAGAGCTTTCAGGACAAAACATTCCCTGGGGAAAGACAATGTGCTTTTGATAACTGAATACCTAAGAAGAACCTTTGGTGTCTTTTCCCTTCACAAAATATGAGAACAGGAAGAGACTGTGGAGATCTTCCAACTCCCTCTGACAAATGAAACTGAGGGCAGGGCTGGAGAAGGGTGATGAGCACAGTGAGCAAACAGCAAAGCCAGGCTGTACCCAAGTGCCTAACAAGAAGGAAGCAAGATGATATAAAATAATTAAGAAGCAAGGATTATAGGCTTGGAATTGAACTCACTCCCATGGCTTCCACCCAAACAATAGACAGGCATATAGGGTGAACATTTACACCAGGTAAGCACACTCCTTAGAGTAACCAACCATGGGAGATTAGAAGGGCAGCATTTGTACAAGGAGCTAGCTCAGAGGGCAGGAATGCATAGGAAAGAAGGACACAGGGAAGAGGTAACCACAGGGAGGAAGTAGGAAGAGAGCTGTTACACTGTGGCGTTTGCAATCAATGTCATGAAACCAATGTGCATCAACTGCTGTATGGAAAATGAATTTGTGCTATAAACTTTCACCCAAATCACAATTAAAAAAAAAAAGCAGCAGCAGCAAGGAGTACAGAGCCAAAATGTGCATGGAATGAGCTAACACTCTCTGGGTTCTCACTGGATTGCAGCTACCCCCTTCCCACTCCAGCTCTCTGACTAGGGGTCCCTGCCAGAAGAGAGATGGCCAAAGTGTTCCCCAGAGCCATTCCTTCTGCTCATGTTTCTATGATCTCAGTTACCGAGAAAAATGACAACAGAGCATGCTGGGGTCATCATACTCAAAAGTCAGCTTCTAATGCCTACATATGATAAGACTCCAAACATACAAATCAGTCTCAGCCCTGAAAGCATTGATGGGGGATACGCGCTACTGAGACACCAAGGCTGAAGACTCCCCAGGCAGACACAGCTGGCGATCTGAGAGTATACTCCCTTATTGGTCTCCATGTGGAGACAGCAAGAGCAAGTCCATGCCCTGGGCAGTGAAGGGGCAATGGAGAAGCCATCTTGTGAGGTAAGAGACAAAAGTTCCTCCTTCTGGAAACTTCTACAAAAGTCATTTTCTTGTGTTTTCTATTTTAAAACTTCATACAGATAGAAGGACAACATCCAAGCTCTATGACCTCCTATGGCCCCTCTCAGAATGTTCCCCTCACAGTTACAGGAACTCATAGAGCTTTGTTTTACTTGATTCCCATCGTGTGAAAAAACAATAATGGCTCATAATTTATTTTATGTCTATTGCATCTGTCATATGCCAGACACATCTCTAGGTACTTTCCATTCATTTTCCCTGAACTTTATGACCTCAACCCTGAAAGTATCATCATCATCATCATCATCCCCATTTGGCAGATGAGGAAACAGGCTCAGAAGTTAACTAAGTCACCCAGCAAGTATAAATGGCATGTACATTGTCTACATGGTTCAGTCATAGGAGTTTAAATAAAGATGCCTCCAAGCTCTCGGAAGCTGGGCCCGTCGGCTGTATTAAAACTCACTGCCTCTCTCAGTGCCAGCCTAAGAGACTGCTAGCAGAACGGATGTCATCCAAGCTCATGGGCAAGCAGCAATCCTGGCAGCCTTGAGGCAGCTTAGCTCCTGGCGGTTCTCAGCTTCCTGCGGAAGTACTCGGGGGCGGCCTCGTACAGCCACTCGGCGTCCACGACACAAAGGTCTCGCATGTAGCACTTGTTGGTGTAGAGCAACTCAGTATACACAACACAGGCTGGCTTACAGTGGAAGAGGACAGATGAGGGGTGGATGGCCACTGGTTGGTGGGTGTCTGTGGTGGCATAGGTGCCATCTGGCTGAAGTTCTGCTGTGCTCATGAAGAGGCTGTGTGCCAGGCAGCGGCGGATGCTCTCCACGTCTCCTCGGGATGACATGATTGGCATGGACATCTGTTTCAGGAGAAAGGAAGAAGTGGAAAAAGCATTGAAAAAACAGGGGTATCAATAAACACAGACACACACACACACAGATGCACAAATACATCCACAGAAAAGAAAGAGGTCCAGAAGAAACTATACCAAACTTTTAATAGTGGTCATCCCTGGAGGGGGAGGATTACGGGAGACTTTCAAACTGAATGCGTTATTTCTGCATATTCAATGAATAAGCATTTGCTTTTATAATCTAAAAAAACAATAGATATCCCCACTAAATAAATTCTTAGGAAGCATTTTAGTAATGTCAGAAAATGCTTTATAAAAGCATTTGTAAAAGCTGAATATAAATTATACATAAATCTAACTATGTTAAAAAAATGCACTTAAAATACATGGCTAAAAAAAAAACCACTATCAAGAAACACACCAAAATACTGAGATGTGGAATTATGGGTAATTCTTGTTCCTTATTTTCAAATTTTACTACAATGATTATTACTTCTATAATCACTCACAATTTAAAAACTCCTACCTAGAAAAAAGTGACAGCTCAGTCTGCCAAGAGATGGCACGAATAAACAGTACCTTTAAGCAGATATCCCTCAGCTGTGCTCTGACTTCGGCGACTAACATCATATTCTTGCTGTTGACAAAATTCTCCTTACACCAATCCTGAGCAGGATAAAAACAAAGAACACAATCCCCTCATTTTTATAGAGAAAAAATATACAGCCATTTTAGAACACAGCTGAATTCAGGAGGGAGAGAAGGAAAACTTCTGGTGCCCAAAATAAATAGAAGAAAATAGCTTTATATTAAAAATGCATGAAAGGAAAATATTAACAATGCAAACTGAAGTAAAACTCAAAATGTCCTTATGTCAAAAGTCACCATGAAAGGACCTACAGGTTAGAAGAAAATACTGGCATCACCACACCTAAGAAAGAGGTAGTACCTCCAGAAGATTAAAAAAAAAAAACCTACCAATCAACAGAAAAAAGATCAACAATCCAATAGAAAAACAAACAAAGGATATGAAGAGGTACTACAGAAGAACTGCTAACGACCAAAATTAACATATGGATGGATCCTCAACTCTGAAAGAATCATGGTAATAGTTTAAATAGCTGGTGTATTATTTCACATCCACCCGCTTGGCAGAATTGACTAAGAGTTGGAGGGGATCATGGAAATGGAAACTCATACGCATTACTTTGGGGAGCAGAAAAGGTGTTAGCAACACTGGCGAGCCACATGGCCAGCCTGGTAAAGCTCTGACACAGCTATTCCAAGACCCAGCAGCTCCACTCCCAGGGGTTGGCCTCACAGAAATTCTCCCATGTGCAACAAGAAGACATGGACACTGCAGCACCAAAGTGGAAGCAAGGTGCAAGAGGATAATGTAAGAAAATACCTATGGACTAGAGTACGCATGGCTCTGAAGTAAAAGTGTATCACCACAGAGAACATGCACACCAACTTTAGGACCGTGGCTACACAGGGAAAAAGGGACAGGAAAGATCAGGGCTTTCACTGTATCGGCAGCGTTTTAGTTCCTTAAATATAAAGTGAGGCAAATACAGCAAAAAAGTTTACAACTGCTGAAACTGGCTGGTGGCTTGCTTCTTTATTTTAAAGAATTGGATGCTTTAAAATGCAAAGTATAAGCATGCACATTACAGAACAATTACTGACTCTCTCAATAAATCCAAGACTGGATTGCCATTTTCCATCTTGGTCCAGGGAATGAAATATTATATAGGTAAAAATTACCATGAAAAGAGTTAGGAGAAGGTGGTGGGTAAAAAGAAAAAAGAAAAAAACATTATGTAGTTAAAAATCTGAATCACCAAAAAGCGTAAGTAACTTGCTCAAGTTAAGCCCAAGTTAAACACAAGCAGACAACCTCTTATCTCCCTGTCTTCACACAGTTCAGCAATGACAATCTGGTGTTCTTCTCAAGAGTCTGTAGATGATTCAGGGTGCTCTCGTGGCACAAGGGTTAGAGCACTTTGCTGCTAACCAAAACGTTGGGTGTTCAAACCTACCACCCACTCTGTAGGTCAAAGATGAGGCAGTTTACGTCCATAAAGATTTACAGCCTTAAAAACCATAGGGGGCACTTGTACTGTGTCCTATAGTGTCGCTGTGAGTTGGAATCAATTTGATAGCAGTGGGTTTGGTTTGAGTGTAGATGATTTAGCCAAAAATAGAACATTCACTTACAACATGGGCCAGAAAGAAGGAGCTATCAAATCAGAAAAAAAATAGGACAAGGTTCACCTTATTCCCACTCATGTTTTTGAAGGTCCGGTAGATATTCAGCAGGGTAATGTGGTCGCCCTCACTGGAGATGAACTTCTTCCGGACGCTCTGCACCTCATCCCGCCGGGCAGGAGGGTTGTAGAGAATGCTGTCCACGGACAGCAGGGAGACGATGGTCAGTATCTCCTCGGTGCAGTGGAATTTGGAGGACAAAAGAATGGTCTGAAAATCAGAATTAACAACTGGCTAAGCCAAGTTCTTCCCTACTTTCTGAATACAGCATTTCTGTATATTGTTTTTGCATTTTCTCTTCTAGGGAGTGCAAGGGCAGGTGTTTCTAAAACCATGATTATATACGTTCATGGTATTTTTCTTTTTTGTAAAACAGATTCCTGCCTTCCCCACAGAATTCCAAATCCCTTGTGGACAGGGCTCATGAGTTAAGGTCTTTGAATCCCACATGGAACAGAAACCAGTGTTGTAGAGAAAGAGGGGGTTGAAAAAATTTGAAAGAAGAGGTGAGGATTAGTCCAGAAGCACTGGGTTCAGGGCCTACTTAGGGATGGCTAACCCGGAATATACAGAAAGGGGACCGAGGAGACTGTATCATTTACTTTGGCAAATTTGGGTTCTAAAGGAAATGCTGCCATCTTTCTTCCAATTGGAGTCAGGGAAAGCTGGTCATCCTTACGGTCAAGAGCACCTAACAGGTCCAGTTGGGCAATGGCTGCCTGAATGTGATCTAAAGAAACAGAGACACAAAAAGGAGCCAAAAGTCCAAAAAAGGAAGAAGTTGCAGCCAGTTCAGTACCTTCCAGGTGCTTCTGATAACTCTGTATCACACAACAGCAAAGGTCATAGCCACCAGGACCCCCGTGACACACTTTTCCAAGCTGTTAATGACATCACTGTTTCCAGCTCAATTCCCCTTTTTGAATGAATGGCCTGTAAATGTTAAACACCCATACCCTTTAATGTAGCAATGTTACACTTAGGAATTTCACCTACTGATATACACTGTATGGAGATCTACATACATGGATATCCTTTGTAGCTTTATCAGTGGTTAACACATGATTAGACATAGGGGGCATTCACACTGTAGAAATACATACAGCCATTAAAAAGAACAAAAAACAAAAAAACCAAACTCACTGCCATCCAGTTGATTCTAACTCATAGTGACCCCCTGACCCCCACTGGGTTTCCAAAGCTGTAAGTCTTTAAGGAAGTAGATCGCCCCATCTTCCTTCCGTGGAGCAGCTGGTGGGTTTGAATCACTGACCTCCTCGTTAGCAGTCAAATGCCTTAGCCACTATGCCACCAGAGCTCCTTTTAAAAGGAACAAGGATGCTCCTTATCTATTAAAGTGGAACAATCTACAAAATAAGTGGGTGAGTTTTAAGAAAGAAAAAAAATAAATAAAAGCAAGATACAGAACTGTGTGTGGAGTTTACTGCTGTTAATTAAAAAAAAAAAAACGATGAGAGGAAGAACAGGTACTTGCTTTCATTTATCTCACATACACCAAAGAAAGAAATCCTAGTGGCCTAAAAGGCCGTCTGGGGGCTGGGGAGACATGGGTGAGAAAAACACTATTTACTGTTTCCTCTTCTACACTTTTTGAATTTGGAACCATCTGCCTGCACTGCCTATTAGAGAATAAACAAGCACTTCTAAGGATGTAGTAAATAGAGTATACATATCGACAGGGAACAACCTATAAAATGTATTTAGTGATAAAAGCAATGTGCCAGTGTCTACCAGTAGGAGAATGCATAAACACACTTTGCTTTATGCGTACAGTGGCACAGTGTTTAGCAGGGAAAATCCTTCCCCAAACCTTACACAAAATGCTGAACGAAAAGAGAGGTGGCCAGAGAATAAACACACAAGCATGCAAACTTAAACAGCCTATCATTTAGAGGCCCACACACATACCATAACATAAGAGAAGTAAGAGAACTACGAACAGAATGTGGGAGAGTATTTCCCTCACGGAAGTGGGAAGGAAGCGAGTACACCCAGGAGTGGCTGGGCTCTCAGAGGCGCTGGCAGCGGGAACACAGGTGTTTGTTTTATCACTCCATATACTTTGCATATACAGAATGTTACTCCTTTGCATGTAATAATTTAGCAATTAAAAGAAAAAACAGAGTGTAGAGCAATACATAATGTGTGTTGTCATTTGTGGATTTAGGCACAGATATTCTCCAGAAGCCAACAGCTAGAAGTGGTCACAGAGGGTGCTTTATGGGAGGGAGACTGAGATCTTGAGTATTAGGGCTGGGACCCCTGTAGACCCACTCATTCTTTAGGATTTTTTTTTTTTTTTTTTACTTTTGTATTTCTTAAAAAGAGAGAAAGAAAAGGAAAATGGTGTGTTGAAGAGCTGCTAAGTGCCGATGCCATCATCATTCAGAATCCCGATGGTTTACTGTTGCTCCACAGAGAGACTGTCAGTGAGGGCCACCGGCGCACAGGGAGACACAAGCAGGGACAAAGGCTGGGATTGCCTCTCTTCCCTCGTCACCTCCCAGCCCTCAGACGCTCATCCTTTTTGGTGCTCATTAGATGATTCAGCCATAAAAGGAAGGTGCACTCAAACTGCCTTTGGAGCTTATCAAATTCCAGTCTTTTCACTCCTTTAGCTGAGAAAGGGACAATGTCCACTGGGTTTCTGGAATATCCCATGGACCACGCTCAACCACCTTCACTGGTCCAGTGGCCAAGGAACCCACCTGGGAGTCCCTGTACAATAGTAACATTTCTGCACCGGGACCACACTCTGAAAGCCCTGAACCAATCACATCCCAATTTTGATATGTTCTTTTAATAGTTAATGTTACTATCCATCAAATTAAACTAAACAAAGGAGACCATCAAAACATTGTCTTTTTTGAATTTTTAAGGAGAGTCCATCAGCTATTGTTTAGCTACTAAGACCTTCCACAACACATAGGATTCTACTCACCTGGAGATGGTTTGGACATGAAGTCAAAAGTGAGCACATTGGGGACTTTCATTGCCAGGAGCTGTAGCATCACGCTTGCCAGGTTACACCTACAGAGTGAGAGATGCAGGGCATTCACCCGTCTTGGGTCCTCAGGCTTGTGAGTCAGAACAGCTCACTGAGGAGGGCACATGGGAACAGGACAGCACTGGGAAAACATAAGCCAACAGGAGAGGGAGGCAGGACACATGGCAGGAGGGCAGGAGCCACTGAGCTCACCTCTGGATTTCTGGCACGGTCATCTTATCAAACTTCTCAAACTCATCCTCGGTGTAGAGTCGGTAGCAGAGGCCACTGTCCTCTCTGCCAGCCCTTCCCGTGCGCTGCCAAGCCTGGGTCTTTGACACCCGCTGCACAGCCAAGACCTCAAGCCCACTGTCTGGAAGGAAAATGGGCCACACAAATGCTTCACTCTTCTCATATACACATAGTTTCTACAGCCCCAACAAGAAGGAGCATTCCTCAGAACACTAGTGACCTTTCTGAAACACAGGGATCCAGGAAAACTCAAGGCTAGACTGGAAAGCACAAAACCAGGCTGCTTTACAGTCATTTGCCCCTAAGTAAATGAGGCCTTCATTCAAGTGCTAGGTGGAATCTGTTACTGTATTACCAGGAAAACCTCGTGTTCACAGCAAGGAGCCACAAGAGCAGGTTTTAGGTCTTGGCTTAGATCACAAGGTGACTAGCAATCCCAGTTTGCCCAGGATACGTGACTTTCAGTACTAAAACCAGGACGGTTCCTGGCAAACTAGGGGATGTTGGTCTCCCCATCAATCAGTCACTCAGAAATCAAGTGCCTCGAGTGGTATGTGTGTGTGCTTTATCCTTCTCCCAGCTCTATTTCTTTCTGAAGCATAAAGGGGAGCAACTTTCTTGATAGCAGTGCATTCTGTGCCAGGCACTAGAGAACCAAGCCCTTTCACATACATTAGCTCTGAAAGATAGACGTGTGAAAGTTAGCACCCTCCAATGCCTGGCAGTGCATTTCAATCAAACATCTAGGAGCAATCATTTCAGCTCCTCCAATCCTCTGTAGAATAAGGTGAGATGTAAAACAGACCCAAAGAAACTGACTTCAAGCAAGCTCCCTGCTGCACATTCTCAGTAAAAACCTAGTGCTTCCCCCTCTACCCTTCCCCCCAGCCTAGGGAATGTTTTCTTCCCATCCTGAGAGCTCAAAACAAAACCCACTCAACCACACCCACTGCCATTGAGTCGATTCTGACTCACAGCAAGCCCCACTGGGTTTCCAAGGCTTTAATCTTTACAGAAGTAGATTGCCTCATCTTCCCCCGTGGAGCAGCTAGTAGGTTTGAACCGGCAACCTTCTGGTTAGCATCCAAATCTCTTACCCAGTACACCACCAGAGCTCCTTGGGAGCCAAACCAGCCATACTCAAATAATATTATTTTTAACGACAGGCTTGGACCTGGTATCAGGCTGCCCCCGCAACTTCTGACTGGGTTCCAGACCCCTGCCAGCTCCCTGGCCCTCTATTCCCTGGCTGGTTAATGAGCCTGGGCTCTTCTTGGAACCTTGCTTTCTGGGTCTCACATACCTACCTCAGGTCTCCTTTCAGGGCTTGGCTTCCGGACTGGCTCGTTAATGGGCCTGCCACTCAAATCTGAGTTAGCTACAAATGTGAAATGGGGGGAACCTGTGGGACTAGAGGAAACGCAACAGGCACTCACTAGACACAGCAGGGACAGTCATGAGCTACCAAGTCTCACCAGGGTTATACTTCTTTGCTTTAACCATGCCTGTGTCAACTACAAATTTTATTCCTGCAATGGTTATGGAGGTTTCAGCGATGTTGGTTGAAATGATCACTTTGCGATAGCCCTAAAAGAAAACCAAAAAGCCATATGACACACATATGATTTAAAACATATTCCTCACCATTAATTTCCGAAGCAATTCACTCATGATCAAAAAAATATGACTCCATTATTAATGAGAGATTCTATGGAGGTCAGTTATTAAAATGGGTGGCAGGCAGGTGGACAGGGATGTTAGTCTCAAAAGTTTATTTTGAGGCAATGAGATGTGGAGACATAAGCACAAGACTCAGAAGCAGGTGGATGTGGGTGGGAATCCTGGCCCTGCCAATTTATTGACTGTGAGCCCCGAGCAATTATTTCTTTACCTCTCAGGACCTCAATGTTTATAGAATGGGACTGTAACCTAGCTTGCTGGCTCTTGGGAGGAAGAGACAGTGTTATGATGCATCAGCCCTGTGTGCGGCTCATCACAGGAACACGATGAATGGATAGATGTGCCCTGTTTGTGTTGGACCTTAGGAGGGTCACTCATTTCCTTCTCACCCTCACCCTCAACCACTACAACAGTCTCCTTGTTCTTTCCTCGGGGTGCTATCTCTGTAGCTAGGCATTGTATTCTTGTTGGCTTTTCAACTGGTTTGTCTGGTCCCTGAGCACCGCGCCCTGTTCTCTTATCAGGAACTTGATGTCATGGCACATCTGTCCAAGCCCAGGGACGGGACTGGACAGGAGGTGGTGTACTTACTCACCTTGGGGGCCCCCTGGAAGACACGGAGCTGCTGGGTGTAGGGCAAGGAGGCATACAGAGGAAGGACCAGCATTGGAGGGCAGCCGTCTGGGAGGTGCTTTGCAATGTCTCGGCAGGTCTTGCTCATTGCTTCGATCTCCTCCTGCCCAGTGAGGAACACCAGGATGTCCTGAGAAGAAGGGGCTTCCTATGAAGAGGCAAAGTAGGTGCTTACTCAGAGTTGATAGAAATTCAGGCCAGAGCTGCACAGAACCTAGTAGAGCATATATAACTGTGTCTTACAAGAAAGGAGGCATAGCAATGGTGGAATACTAACAATGTACAGCAATAATATTGTAATTATTAATACTTGGTTTAAAAACATTGTGCTATAATTACATTGAAAAGATGGAGGAGGGAGACAAGTCGGGAGGCATGTGCTAAGCCCTCACATACCATGGTAAGATTTAATGTATAATGCTTAATAGTAATCAAGGGAGCCCTGGTGGCTCAATGGTTAAGTGTTCAGCTGCTAATCAAAAGGCTGGCCATTTGAACCCCCAGCTGCTCTGCCAGAGAAAGACCTGGTGATCTGCTTCTGTAAAGATCACAGCCAAGAAAACCTTATGGGACAGTTCTGCTCTGTCACATGCAGTCACTAAAGAGTCAAATCAACTTGACAGCCTCTAACAGCAACAATATTGGTCAATCAAGAAACAGCAATATAAGCAGGCTATTTAGAAACACAGGTAGTCTCCAACTTATGACACACTGGAGTTACAACAAACCCCATTTATGACTGACTGTTGTTTTGGGGTTTTTTTGGTATATCTTATTGTTAATAATATGTTACAGCATGTAATTTGCTGACGTTATCATTCTCAGAAATTCACTTGCAGATGTTCAATTTTGATTTCCTGTTCAAAATACTGCCAGATTTATAAAGACAGTGATACAAAGGTAGTAATAATGAAAACTAAAAAAACCAAGGAACTCAACTTACATCAGAACTGACTTATGACAGAGGACGAGAACTCCATCATAATCACTTAGATTAAAACAAAAATTCATTTTAAAAAATGCCTGTCTCTACATTTTCTCAGAATGTTAACAGGAAGGTCAAAATAATTGAACTGTATATAAACAAAACAAAACTGGGGTGGTCTTATCACTCATTTCTTTCTTTCTTTTTTTTAACAAGAAAGAGTTTTAATTCCTACAGAACCTAATGTGATGATCTTGAAGTACTGGAATCCAGGTAATTTTTTTAGTTTAGTTTTTTTTTTTTTTTAATTGTGATTTAGGTGAAAGTTTACAGAGCAAATTCACTTTCCATACAGCAGCTCACATACACTTTGTCTCATGACATTGACTGCAATTCCCCACAATGCAACAGCTTCCTCCACTTCCTCCCCTTAGTTACCTCTTCCCTGTGTCCTTCCCTCCCATGCACTCCTGCCCTTCATGATTAATCTCTCCAAGGAGTGTATCTACCTGATGTAAATGTTCAGCTCATAGAATATCTGAATCCCAGCCCATACCTGGTGGATCTGGAAGACTGAGACTAATGCTGCATGCAGGTAATCATTCTGAGGCTGTTTAGTGTAGAAAATCTGGATTGGGTGCTGCCGGCCTTCTAGGTAGAGGACAGGGGCTCCATTGAAGTACTGAGAGAAGAGGTCCACATCCATTGTGGCTGACATCACAATCACCTGTGCAAGAGACAAAGATGAGACAGGAAACCAAACTGGACAGCCTTTCTGTATGCCTCCCAATAGCAAAAAGCAGATGATGAAGGCCTGTGTCACTCCCACCACATTAACTTCCCCCATGGTTCAGAAGGAGACTGGGCAAAGGAAAACACACTGAAGAAGAAATAAAGGACTATTTCCTTATATGTAGTGAGCCCTGGTGGTGCAGTGGTTAAAGGGCCTGGCTGCTGACTGAGAGGTCAAGGTTCAAACCCATCAGCCACTTCATGTGAGAAAAGATGAAGGTCTGGTTCCATAAAGATTTACAACCTACTCTGTTCTATACGGCTGCTATGCGTAGGAGTCAACTCAACAGCAGTGAGTTTGGGTTTTTTTGTTTCCTTGACTGTGTTATACGTACTTTGAGAGGCAGTTTCCCCAGTTCCTTCCGCCGCCTCTGTGCAGTTTTCACCACCCCAAAGAGCACATCTGTATGGATAGTCCGCTCGTGGGCTTCATCCAGGATGACACAGCTGTACTTCCGGAGCAGGGAGTCTGAAATTGCTTCACGGAGAAGCATGCCATCAGTCAGGAACTTGATCTTGGTGTCTTCTGAGGTGACATCATCAAAGCGGACTGTATAGCCAACCTATGGAAAACAATCATCCACTCACTCATCAAACACTTGTTGCATGATGACTGTGTGCCTAACGCTGTGCTAAGTGCTTGCGCCATCACAGTGACCAAGACCAACAGTAACACCACTCTCAGAGCATACACTCCAGTGGGGGAGAAAATGAACTTGTACATTTAACTGCAGCAGTAACAACATGACAAAGAATTACAACTAGCCTATAAAAGAACACCTAGAAAGAAAATGAATAGAGAGAGTATCTGAACAGCCAACTAGACCTTACAGACATATACAGAACACTCTACCCAACAATAGCACAATATACATTATTCCCCAGTACACATGTAACATTCCCCAAGGCAGACCAAACGTTAGGTCACAAAGTAAGTCTTCATATATTTAGAAAGACTGAAATCACACAAAGGATCTTCTCCAACCACAATGGAATGAAACTAGAAATCAATAACAGAAGGAAAACTGGAAAAAGCACAAGTATTTGGAACTTAAAATTAACCTATATACCCCAAGCTACTTACTCTTTCATGTGAAGCTATATACAGTCATGGAGAGAGGGGCAAGAAGTTTTTAAGTGAAAACACCCACACACAAACACAACAAAATTTGTCTTAGATGGTCTTATAGATTGCCTCTTTTCTTTTAACTCATCAATACCCATATATATGTTAGAATAAAGCTTATAATTTTTCCAGAAAGATAGGTAGTTATTATTTAACAGAGGAGCTCTGGTAGCATAGTGCCTAAGGCACTTGACTGCTCACCAGAAGGCTGGCAGTTCAAACCCACCAGCCTCTCCTCGGAAGGAAGGTTGGGCAATCCTACTTCCGTAGTGATACTGCCTCGGAAACCCAAGGAGGGGTCGCTATGAGTCGGGGCCGACTTGACGGCAAAACAACAACAACAACAACAACTGAAGCCTTAAAAATACTCATAGAAAAGCAACTAATTTATTCAACTTGCAAACAGATTTTGAAAGCAAAGCAAACAGGACTAACTGCTTATCAGCCCCTCAGCTCTCTCAGGAACTAGTGAAAAACTCTGAGATAGGCCTGAAGGGCAGTGGCAAGAAAAAGGCTTTCTGTGTTTAAAGAGAAGTCTTGTTTAGAAAAACAGAAGTGGAGGAAAGTGGTAGGAGGGGGAAGAATTGTCTGTTCTTGACTGTAAAGAAGAAAATCAGGTACCAGCTTCCCAAGTTCAGTTCTCTTCTCATCTGAGACTCTGGTAGCCAGAGAGATGGCGGCCACCCGACGGGGCTGGGTCACAGCAATGACGCCCTGGTGGCCGATCCCTCCTTCGTAGAGGTACTGAGGGAGCTGCGTTGTTTTCCCGGAGCCGGTTTCCCCTGGGAAATGGAAAAAAAAATTCATTTAAATGTAAATGAGTACAAACTACACCTAACAAATGGACAGCAGAGGGATAGGATAAAAGAAGACACTGAGTTGGTGAAGCTTCAGGAAGGCGGGCACTGCGGGCACTGCTGGGGGAGCACCAAGAAAACCTCATGGAGCAGTTCTGTTCCATAGGAACTGACTTGATGGCAATGATCAACAACGATGACAATCTTAAAATGCATTTCCTGTTCAACGCAACTTCACTTATAAACATATGTCCTACAAAATTACTCGCACAAATAAGCAAAGATACTGCTTTCTAACAAAATTAATACTTTAAGTATTTGTTCATGTGAAGTAATAACTGGCTCCAAAACTTTTCTGAGATGTACTTTTCACTTTCAAAATTTAATAGTTACTCAATATCCCAATGTCGTTTCTTTTTGGCATTGGTTCAACATGCATCTGAGGAGGTCGTTTTTGTTAGGTGCCACTGAGTCGACCGCAATTCATAAGAATCCCATGTGGCAGAGCAGAACTGCCCCAAAGGGTCTCCCAGCCTGTAATCTTTATGGAGCAGACTACCAGGTCTCTTTCCCAAAGAGCTGCTGGTGGATTTGAACTGCTGACCTTCCAGTTAGCAGCTGTACTTAGCCATTGTCTCACCAGGGCTCCTTACATCCAAGGTTACTAATCAATAAACCACAAAGTGCCAAACAGGAGCATGTGCAGTAGGAGCCCCCCAAGAGGGAGTGATGGGGAGGGGGCTGAACCCTCAGGCACTACTAACTCAAAGCCATTTATCCAATACAGGGGTGTGGGCTTTAATAGGGAACATAAAAAAGAAGGGCACTTAAAGGACATATGAATAGCAGAAGAAACTCTGCTGGCACACATTTAGCTGCTAACCAAAAAAGGTCAGTGGTTTGAACCCACCAGCCACTCCGTAGTAGAAAGATGAGGCAGTCTGCTTCCATAATGATTTACAGCCTTGGAAACTCTATGGGGCAGTTCTACTCAGTCCTATAGGGTTGCTGAGTTGGAAGTAACTCAATGGCAGTGGGTTTGGTTTGGTTTTATAAGGAGCATAGGGAACCCATAAGAAATATTTATGGAATAGCTGACAATGAACATATACCAGTGCCAGGCACTGTTCTAAGCATTTTACATGGATTATTTCACTTAATACAATAATCCTGAGACAGGTACTATTATCACCCTCACTTTAGAGATGGAGAAACTGAGGCTTAAAGGTTAAGCAATTTGCCCAAAGGCAATGCACTAAATGGCAGTCAGGATTCAAACCTAAGAAGTCTGATTCCAGAGCCTGCACTAATTACCACTACTTATTCCGAGGGGCTGGTTGGCATTTCAACCCACCAACCTCTCTGCAGGAGAAAGATGAGGCAGTCTGTTTTCAAAAATATTTACAGCCTTCTGAACTATATGGGGCAGTTCTACTCCACCCTATAGGGTCACTATGAGTTGGAACTGAGTCAATGAGAATGTTTTTTTTTTTTTTTGTTTTGTTTTGTTTCTTCTGAGGGATTTGGGGTAAGAAGGACCAAACCAAACTCAGTGCCATCAGGTCAATTCAAGGAGAAGGACCGAACCAGAAATTCATTGCCATCGAGTCAACCCAAGGAGAAGGACGGTCCCCCCAAACACACACATACACTGTAGCCATAACAAACTCCTAATTTGCAGCTTTCTTCAAACACTCTACCTTTGCCCACACTATTACAGCATGCCTTCCCTCAACTTGATTATCTGGCAATGTCTAGTCTCTGGGATGAGTTACGGTTCACATTCTCTTCTCTCTCTGAGGCTGAGCTGGTACACCTTCTCTGTGCTCCTTGGTGCCTTCGCCATCTCTCCTCTAGCACTTACCAGCCTACATTCACTAAAATGCCCAATTATAACATCAGGAATTGATGGTACTAAAAAAAGACCAGGTTTGGTGGTCTGATAGAGTCTGGTGAGACCCCTGAGACTATGGCCCTAGTTACCCTTCAGGTCTGGAACTGAACTCACACCTGTGGGTTCCAGCCAAACAACAGACAGCCATTTGGGGTAGACAGATCTGGTAGATACACTCCTTGGACTAATCAATCACTGGAGAACAGAAGGGCAGTGTTTGCACAGGGAGATATAGCTCAGGAGGTGGGTGACCTGAACAGCACCTAACAACAAATAGAACATCAAACTTTGTAGACCTGTGAGTCCTTTCCTTCCCTTGTTGCCACTACCTCTCTGACCCCATAGAGACCTACAGTGACAGTATTTCTGCATTTTCTCCCCGTCCACTAGGCCCTACTGACTGCTCATCCTGCCTGATCTAGCCAAGAATCACAGATGAAGAATCTGATTATTTTGCACTTCTCCTGCTGAATCCACCAGGCAAAACCCCAAACTTAGATCAATGTCTACCTCTGTCCATCTTCTCCGCTCTTACATGGCAAAGAAGGCAACTAAGCACTGCTAAAGTAAAATAACCACATGGGAGGGAAGAGGTTATAACTATAGGGACGAAGTAGGAAGAGAGCTGTTACATTGTGGGGAATGGTAGTCAATGTCATGAAACAAAATGTGTATGAACTGCTGTGTGGAAAATTAATTTGCTCTGTAAACTTTCACCCAAATCACAATAAAAATTGAAAAATAAGGGAAAATAACCCAAGTGTGCAAACTAAGATCTAAGTTTGTAGCAGGGCCAAAATGGCATCTGCCAACCAGCACTGCCATTGGTCTTTTTTCTTATGTTGTAGCCTGCCTTCTGTCTCCATCCTCTCCAAGGGTCTACCTGAGGCTTGTGCCTCCCATTCTCAGCAGAGCTCCTGTGTCTATTTCATAGAAAAAAATGAAGTCTTTAAGTATGATCTCCCCAACCTCCTCCTCCAAGCTTTTTTACAGTCACACCCACTCTTAACCTCCTTTTTCCAGCCCCACGGCCTCTTAGACATTCTTCCTCCTACTCCAGGCCAGCTCTGCATCGAGCCTTGTCACCATGCATCCCTCTTCCCCATGTCTTCCCATCTTTGCTCTTTAGTGTACTCTTTCCATCTTCAGCCGCTCTCTCTACTGCATTCTTCTCCTCAGCCTGTGATTACTTATGAGTTTCTCTCTGCCTCCCTCTTTTTTCTCAAAGCAGAAGCCTGCTTCATTCTCTCCCCTCCTACTTATTCCTTAGGCTCTGAGAAGGCAGCTCCTACTCCCACAGCTCTCCTGAAATCCACAATTAATACCTCTTCTCCAAATTCAGTGGGCCTCCTTTGGGCCCCTATCTTACTGGATCTAATTGCTGCCTCTGCTCACTCCCTCCTTCTGACAACTCTATATTCAATTGACCACCAGCTCTTCATCTCTTTGGCAGTTCATTCTTTCGGTCCTACAGGAGCTCCTCTTACTTTCGTTGTTGTTGTTGTTGTTTTGCCATCGAGTCGGCCCTGACTCATAGCGACCCCTCCTTGGGTTTCCGAGGCAGTATCACTACAGAAGTAGGATTGCCCAACCTTCCTTCCGAGGAGTGGCTGGTGGGTTTGAACCTCTTACTTTACCTATCCTAAAACGTTGGAGATCAAGGGTTCTGGCAATAAGGACCCGCCCCACAACTATGCCACTTAATACATGAACCTGAAATTACTACTGCCTATCAGACTGGGCTGTTTCTCGCCTCCAGTTAGTCTCTCCCGCGGGGTCTCCCCTCTGCGGAGAATGCCCTCCCTCCTGTCACCTAACTCACTCATCCTCAGCATTTAAGACCCTGCTCAACGACCACCGGACCCATCTCCCCCCGACCTTCCTCCCAAACTGCTCAGATTGACTCTTCTAAGCTCCCAAAGCCCCGTACGCCCCCTCCACCGCAGTCCTTTCACACTGAAGGTAGGTCTTTACACACGTCAGCCACTCCCACGAGACTGTTAGGGCATCCAGGGCAGAGCTGTCCGACTTTTCTTCGAGGACCTTTCCAGGCCTGGCTGCGAGTCAATCTGAAGCCAGAGTTCTAGCAGCCTCCAGGAAAATCTTTAACCAGAAACCTTTTAGTGTCAGCAATGCTAACAGGACTTTTGTAATTCTAAACACTCCTTAGGGCCTTTATCTGCCCTCCAGTCTCAGCAGGTATCAAGGAACTTCCTCCGAACTCAGCACGCATCACAAAAGCCATCCGGATTCAGCACGTATCGGAGATTTGCTCTACTCCTGAAAGTCTCCCACATATCTGAGCCGCATCCTCCCTAGATAATATTTTCCTAAGTGAACTCTAGGGAGCTCTGGTAGCATAGTGGCTAAGACACTTGCCTGCTAACCAGACGGCTGGTGGTTCAAACCCACCAGCCACTCCTCGGAAGGAAGGTTGGGCAATCCTACTTCCGTAGTGATACTGCCTCGGAAACCCAAGGAGGGGTCGCTATGAGTCAGGTTTGACTCGACGGCACATAACAACAACAACAAGTGAACTCTGGAGCCGGGGGAGGGGGGGGTTCATTACGTCCCCCAACATCTTAGATCACTGCCCTAAATCCCTTAGCAACAACCAATCATCTGTACCCTCTCGCCCTGGTGCTGCCCCCTCCCCATATTATTCCATAAATTGGTGAGAATATTGGGGCAGGGGGTCTTTTGCTTAAGCCACTGACCTGGTAAGGGCAAAGACCCTAACTTAAGTTAGCTAATAAACTTTCCTAGTGCATTTGCAGGGAGCTCTGGTAGCATAGTGGCTAAAGCACTTGACTGCTAACCAGAAGGCTGGTGGTTCAAACCCACCAGCCACTCCTCGGAAGCAAGGTTGGGCAATCCTACATCCGTAGTGATACTGCCTTGGAAACCCAAGGAGGGGTCGCTATGAGTCGGGGCCGACTCCACGGCACATAACAACAACAACAACAAGTGCATTTGCATTGTCGTGTGTTGGCATATTCCTCTCTTCCGAGCATCTCCTTTATAGCCTGGGTACAACATGGCCAGAAAAGATGTTCAGGTTTGTTGCGGAAACTAATGAGTACAACAGGATGAGAAGCACCTCAGAAAATGTGTTCCCGCAGAACCCGGAACAGCGAGTAAAGAACCGCTCGGACGCGCGTGCACTCACCGATGAGGACGGCGTTGTCCAGGTTTCGGAGGTGGGTCAACAGTTGCCCCCGAGCCTGGAAGATGGGCAAACTTCGGCGCTGCAACTCCACAGCTTCGCGGTAAGGAGTGGCAGAGGGATGGGCCAGGGATGGCTGCTGCCTTCGGCCTCCTCCTCCTCCGCCGCCCCCAGCCAGCAGCATCACCACTCGCCTCCCAGGAGGGCAGGATCCAGAGCGGTTCCGAGGTCCGGAACCCGGCCGGAATCTCTTGATCGGGGGGAAGCCCGCCTCCTCAGGCATGTCGGGATGGCACTGCGACGGACTCGCGAGGGCGACAGCAACCGCCTCCTGAAGGCGCGGGCAGATAACGCGAACCTGCCGCCACGTGCTGGCGGCTCCCGGCGACCACCGATGACCTCACGGCCACCCCCAGCCCTAAGGAACGGCACTACAGCTCCCAGCACGCACTGGGGACCTGGGAAGGCTTTCACTTCCTCGGGATCGGGCGAGCAGGGCAAGAGGTACAACGAGGAAAAGGACCCAAGTGACAACAGCAGAAAACAAGGTTTACGGTTCCGTGGGACCTCTCGGCTTGGATACAGGCCTATTACCGTTCCGGCAACTCGAATAAGTTACTCGTCAAGGAGAAGTATTTAGTTCTGTAAAATCAATGAGGAGCACAAACATTTTGCATCATTTAATCCTCTAAACCTTATCAATTATATGGTAGATGCTGGTATCGTCCCTAATTTACAGATGAAGAAACAGACTTCTAAGATTAAACTCATTTAGATATTACAAAAGCTGAATGCTGAAAAGGATGCTAGTAATCATCTTGTGTTACAGAAGAGGTAAGTGAAGTCTATGATTCTCTAAGAGTCGTGTATTTTCCTCAGAAAGTGACTATCCCAGTGGTCGTGGTCTGCTGTATTCCAAGCAGGGAAAAGGGAGTTCAATGGAATTAAAAGTCTTTTACGCCTTCTTTCCTTCAACTACTGCCACACAGTCAAGTTCTCAACAAGGCTTTCCAAACCCAGTGTATGTATACACCAATCAGTGAAAAGATTCAAGACTCCAGGGAGGAAAACAGGATATAACTAGTTTCTCTGCTCTATGTTAAAAGCTTAAACGATATGCTGGTTCACCCCAAAAGACTGAGTACCAGCTGTTTCCTTTGCATATAAGAAATACCATTACCAGAGGATTCGCTATAAACTTCCACTTAAGTGAAGGACTTTGGACATCTTCTGAAGCTCAGATAAGGAATTTGGCTGCTAGCCAAAGTCAGTGGTTCAAACCCACCAGCAGCAGTTCCATGGAAGGAAGATGAGGCAATCTACTTCCAATAAATATTTACAGACTCAGAAACCCAATAGGGGTCGCTGTGAGTTGGAATCGACTAGATGGCAGTGAGTTTGGTTTGTTTTTTGGTGTTGTTAAAAGTCCTTCTCCACTTTTCTCTGGGTCAGAGACAATCTCTCATTGCTGATAGTGTAGTGACCATGGGGTTATGGAAAATGTACATGTTGAACTAATAGATAGGTATTTGATAAAATTTATCTTCTTTCCCCTAAATATTAGTTTAGCAAGGCAGCTCAAAACTAAAAGGGAAACTAACTCTCAAATTATGGAACTTGAGTAGAACATCCAGACAGACCCCACTCCTTTATCCGAGTGTTTTCCAGAGTAACCTAATTCAGGATTCCTATGATCTGGATGATTGTTAAGATGCAATGAGTGAAATCTTGTCGAGACCACATGCCCTGCCTCTAAAAGCAGCCACTAATCAGCTCTAAGCAATAGCTGCTGTGTAGGAATGCAGGCCTATTGCCAGAACTTACAATTTTTTTCCAAGAAAAACCAAAAATGAGTATTTTTACGTGCAATCTGGCAATTAAAAAATGTTAGCTCAAAACTGTTAAATGGTGCAGGCAAAACAAAGCGTATCTGTAAGTAACTCATCTGTAACCTCTGGTCCAGAGGTATGCAGCCTAAAGCTAAGTGGTCCAGAGTTGAAAAATAAAATCCTACACAAGCATCAAGCAATGTTGCCCACATTTCTCCCATATTGGTGGTCTGAAATCTGTAGTCCCTCTTAAAGAAAAGGCTCCTGTGGTTAAATGGCTTGCATATGCAAATGTTAAAGTGGCATCATGTACAAACGCTGACAGACTTCTAACTATTCAAATAATATCCAGGCTCTTCCTCCAAAAGGTCAATTGTCAAGACACATTTTATTCTTATCTAGGATGGTCTTTACTATCTAACCATGACTTCTTGCTAACAGTCCCTATTGTTGGCTGGATCATTTGGCCACCAAACTTTGCTCTTGAACATGTTGTTTGCTTCATCCCACTTCCAGAGACCAATCACAAGCCTCAGCAACTAGGTACAAGTTTGCATGCATACACATTAATCCCTCTAGAATTAAAAATACCAGATAGTAGTTTGCTGAGCAATAAACAAAGTATTTATTCAGCACCTATGTGCCAAGCACTGTCCTAGGCACTGGTGGATACAAAAATTTAAAACATGGTCCCTGCCCTTAAGGAGCTTACAATCTCATGAGGGAGACAAGACTAATATACATGTGCCAACTAGGAACAGTACAGGACAGTATGTAATTTGGTGTAGGAGTATGTTGTACAGACTTGAAGCTTTATAGGGATTCAGAGAGACAATGAAATGGGTCTTAAGAGTCAGGATTTCTTGAGGAACCAGGAACTGTACCGGGCCTTGAAGGACTGAAGACTTAAATTGGGGTCCCTGTTAGGGAGAAGCAGGAATAAGGTTCAGAGGAAGACAAAAAAGTGTGCATTTGATATAGACTAAGAAGTCACTGGATAAGTGACTTGATCAGACAAGGTTCAACAGCTTTAATGCAAACTCATCAAAATATGGGAGTTTAGGGGGCATCCTGCAGTACACTGAAAGTGACAGAATTATGACTGACAACAAAGATGGCAATCACCAGTTAAAGGAAAACAACATAAAATGCTGGCAGGATAGATGATAATTCTAGGAAGTCCCTTAGCCAACAAAGTAATAGCTTCAATATTTCCTAATTTTCAGAATCCCCTACAGAGGTCTGTATAGATGTCCACAGAGAGTGAGGGTTTCGTTTCATTACCAAGACCCAGGACCTGTGGGTGCTCTCTGTAGAGACTACACAAGAGGTATGAAAAATATTAGGACATACAAGAGAGAGACAGAAAAAGAACAAGTGGAAGGAAAAAAACACAGAAATCCATAGTGAAAAAATAACACCAAAATGTTATCTAAAATGTACCTCCTAGGGAGATGGTTTGCATGTCCATTTATTATTTTAAATGAACATATACTATTATTTCTGTAACAAAAAAAATATGTCTTAATCAAGTGTGCTTTTTAATATTACTGGAAGAATCCAACAATCCCTCAAATTCTGTGTGTCAGGTTAAGTTGGTCACAAAGTAAATTCTGCATATCAAATCTCCTTTTTCAGTTGACTTGCATTACAAAAAGGAAAAGAACAAGATAAATAGGTTAAGCTGGGGAAAAAGGGAGAACTTTTCCTATGTCCAGGTAAGCACAGGTGTCCTGTCAAGCAGCACAGGGCTATGGATGGTGGTAGTGGGACTGGCCAAATGGCAACAGAGCAGTGACTGAAACTGCCAATGCCGAGGACACAGTGTAGTAGCATAGCATAACCTGCTGCCACTAGGAATTTTCATCCTATAAAATCAGACAAATCAAAAATCCTGTAACTGACTGCCTCTAGGCTATAGATTCAAATTTTGTTACCTGTATTAGCCAGGCATTAATGTATTGAGATATTCTTTAATTAAGTGGTCAATGAGTACAAATTAAGGATTAAAGTTTTTTATGATGAAAGTTCCATGAATTGGGTAACCCAAAGTTAAGGAATACAAATAAAATTAAAGAAACTAGCCCTAAAACAAATTAAAAAAAAAAAAAAAACTTCTAATAGAAGTCACTGATAAAGCTTTCTTGAATAAAGACATGACAAAACCTTAAAATCCCATAAGGATTATACATCAAAGCTTGGCATATAAACTGTTAAGATTCTGAACCATTCAGGAAAACAGCACTCCCATTAACCAAAGTTCCATAAAATTGCAACAGTCATAGTCAACTTTATGTACTACCAACATTTAAAATATTTAAATTCCTAAGTTATGCATATTCCATTGAAAGACATTAAAATATTTTTCACTTCAAAATCTGAGAGTTCCCATTTAGGATGTTTAAGTCTCATATCCATCTTTCTAAGGAAAATCTCACCATGGAAACCTGTATCAAGCTAGAAATACCACCAACGATCAAGTTTAGGGAAATGGTTCTAGGCCTACACAATGTTTGTAAAAACTATTTGAAATAATCTCTTTTCTGAAATAATCTCTCTTATAGGTTCTCTGAATTACTTCGGCAGTGTGAATGCAGTCCTGCTGAGACTCGGAAGAGTTCGTATTTGGGACTATTTACTGAACCACAGGCATTAACTACATACTTCTGTGAACCTTGTTTAATTTCTACCTGATTGGGAATGTAAACCAGGAGTTTGGCTTCTGAAAGCTTCTCAGCCTAACATGAAGTAAATGATCACTGTCAACCAACCAGAGACCCTGTCTAAATAGTGCCTGTTCCTCTGGCTCCAAAGTCAGCATTTTAACTGGCTTTCCAATTTGGAAGGAGGCCTTTCTGTAGTTTTCCAAAAGTGCAGCCATGCCAGTCTTTTCCTGGACATTTCTTAAGAAATGTAAGCAGAGAAAATAAGGCTGCATATTAGCTTTTTGCCTGTAGCTGAATTCCTGTTACAAGAACCATACCCTCCTACTTCTTTACACACTATCTGACATCTTGAAGTTTTGCAAAACCCAGACTGAGAACAAACTATCTGGACAACAGAAAAAAAATCCTCTTCCCACTGATGCCAGCGTTCTAGATTAGTAAGATGTGTACATAACCACAGTAACAACAGTCCCAATTTGTGAACTGGCAGCAAGCCACATATTTCCAATCTTCTTGACATGAAATCCAGTCGCAAGCTGTGAAGACACAGGAAGACCAGGTATGTCAACTGCCCAGAGCTCAGACCTAGGCAGCAGAGCTAGAATACATTGTCATAATTTAAAAGATCACACACAAAAGCTTGAGTACAGTGAGAGAGAGATGGAATTCAGTTTTATTTTGTCCTCTCTGAAACTTGCATTTACACCATGGCCTCGTCTATCAAGGAGGAGGAAGAAAAAGCCCTGCCTTATGCCATAGAACTCAAGTATTTATGTACTTGTTGGTTAGAGGTGGCAGGGTATTTGTTTCTCCAGTTTTTTGGCTCCGAGAGATTACACTTTCAGTACCAGTGTAGTGAGGAACCACTGGCAAACTGCTGGAAATGTCTTCTGGATAATCAGTGTACCATATTTCATAAAGTGCTTCTGGAATTAAAATCTGTAAAGCTGTCAAAAGTGTCCACACTTTTGCAACA